CCCAAAGGAGACGCTGTGGTAGACGTTAACGTAGGCTCACCGTTGCATGGAGCAAATCCGTCGGATGGACCTCTGGACGACAAGCTTGGCGTACCTACTGATGGTTTAAATCAGCCTCAAGGTAAGATTCATTTCATTCCTCACCCTCTGTCTCCACCCCTCATGCTCTTGCTGACAGACCTGCCATGATGTCCCAACGTCCAGATGCAAACCTCCCCGTTGCTGAAGATGAGGTTATCCTGTTATCTGGAGGCCCACTCTCTGAAGGTATCGACGCCGGCCTCTCCGTACCCGGTCGTTCCCCCGGTGAAGATGATCCTGCCCCCATGTTGACCCACAGCAACAGGCCCGCGGTTGTTTCCCCTCAAGCCACTCCAGCCGCTGCCTCCCCGACTGTCTTCACTCAGGCTCAAGGTCAGATCCCAGCTTCTCCGGCCGTCCCATCTGGTCAAGCCCCACCAGATGAGGTTATCCAATCCTCGGGAAACCCTCTAGACGGTATCGACCCCGCCCTCTTACAACTCACACAGGACTTCTGTGCATCCCAGAACTCCCAAGGACCTCCACATGAAGACATCGAAGAGGAAGAGAAGGCGGAGAAGACTGTCAATGAAATATATGAAGAGCTCTCCAAGGATGTTCTGGACGAAATCCTCAAGGAAGATTCAGACGAAGACGAGGCCGCAATTGCTGAGATATTGGATGAGCAACTGAAGAGTCTCAACCCGGTTCAGGAAACTCAGGATTTACGCACAGCCACCGGTGAGGTCGCCCCAGACACCAGCACGGGTAACGCTAATCAGGAAGGCGAAGGCGAGGACCCGGTCAATGACCGAACCGATTTTGTGACAAACTTCAACCCGGACAACTACCGGATCTGTCCTAAGACAAACTGCCGGCTATATGATTTCCCGAACCCCCCCGCAGCACTTTACACCAATCCCGAGTTCATGATTGAGGATGTTAAGCGCTTTGCATTGCATAATGGCTATGCAATTGTGCTCAGGCGAACAGTCGAAGGAAAGAGCAAGCTCTTCAAATGTGACAGGTAAGCCGCCCGAATTTGTTCTTTTCCGTCTCTCACCATGTCTTGTACCTTGCGTTTGGGTTATTGACTGCTACTGTTCATTTGAGGAATATAGAGGTGGCCATCCAGACCAAAATAAGCGCCCCGGTGAAACTCACGGGAAGGCTCGTTCGACTCGGTTGATACGGTGCCCATGGGAGGCCACAGCTTACTTTCACAAAAAGGGCGTCAATCAGTGGGACTTCCGAGTGAGGACGGGCGCTCATAATCACGAGCCGTCGGAAAGCATGTCTGCGCACACCACCAACAGAAGGCTCACACCACGTCTTTATGAAGAAATGAAGGCTCTTGGCGAGGCAGGATTGAGGCCTAGCGAGATACTCCGGTCCCTGAAGAAGACTCACCCGAATGAGATCATACTAGCGACCGTCAGCACAATTTACACGGCCCGGAAAAAGGCTCGCCAGGAAACGCTTCAAGGGATAAGTCCGATTGTTCACTTGAACAAAACTCTGGCCAACACCAACTTCACCACCGCCACCAAAGTAGATCAAGAAGGTAACCTCAAAGCGCTTTTTTTCTGTCACTCTGATTCCCTGAAGCTCCTCAAGGCATACCACCACATCATCCTACTCGACTGCACATATAAGACGAATAAGTACCGCATGCCTCTGCTCCACGTGTCTGGAATCACCGGTTCAAACAAGACGTTCAGTGTCGCATTCTGTTTCATGGCGGAGGAAACCGAGCCGTTCTACGATTGGGCCCTGCAATCACTTCTGACCATTTTCCAAAGCAACGAGATCCCCCTCCCTCCAGTTGTCATCACGGATCGCGAGCAGGCTCTAATGAATTCCCTTGCAACCTCGTTCCCCAACGCCCACCGCATGCTTTGTGTTTGGCATATTCAGAAGAATCTCTTGGCCAAAGGTGCAAAACTCATTGCCACAGACGAACAACGAAAGGATATGCTTCAATACTGGATGAACATAGTAAAGATTTCGACCCGGTCCGATTTTCAAGCTAGTTTCTCCCGCTGGGCCCACAAATATGGGCCAGACTTTGAAAAATATGCCTCCTCGACCTGGTTACCTGTTGCTGAACACTACTCCAATGCGTGGACATGCACCGTGACTCATTTCAACAACCGGACAACCTCGCGAATGGAATCCGCCCATGCATTCATCAAGTCTCACCTCCTCGGGCCACAACAAACTTTTGCCTCAGCGGTCCAGCTCATCAGCAATGCCATTGAAGAGCAATATCACCAGATCACCAGCATCCATTTTCAGCAAAAGATCACGACACTTCGATACCTTGGCAGCATCTTCCGACCCTGCCTTGGGAAGATCACAAATTATGCACTCAGTCAGGCTTTCAATAATCTGACGGCCGGGAAGAAACTCGGTGAAAATGCGCATTGCAATCAACGATATGTCCTTCGAATGGGCATACCTTGCAAACATCAACTCTTGGAAATCTCAAGATCAGGAGGAATGGTATCACCGGAAGATTTCCATCTCCAATGGCACATGAATGTATGTTTTCATATCTCTTCCCATGTGTTTCCATTTTGTTCTTCTTCCCATCTGTTTCCATTTGGTTCTGACATGAATCCCTCCTCAGGTCCTCAAACGTGATCCATCCCCAAGCGCCAGGGCAACCCAGAATGATAACCCAATGATTGAGCAGATAACGGATCGGCTACGGTCGATGAATCCAGCCCAGCAGGCAATCCAAATCGCCGCCATCAACCAGCTGCTTGAAGGATCCGGGGCGGTAGTAGATGTCCAGCTGCCGACCGAAGCTCAGAAGACTCGAGGACGACCGAAAGGCGCAACAAACAAACCAAGGACCACCAAACGGGAACTGTCGGAGTTCGAACATGTCGAGAAGAAGAGGAAGAAAGAAGAGAGCGAAGCTGTCAAAGCCAAGAAACAGAAGCTGAACAATATCAAAGCGGAGATGAAGGCCTTCTGAAAAGCTGACCAGAAGGCATTACAGAAGGAAGAAGACAAGGCGTTGGAAGAAGAGGAGGAGCTTGAGGCATCTGAGGCCAGGAAAAACAGTCCGGAACCTAGGAAAAGGATCCTCCCTCCTCGGAATGCACGGGTCAAACGTCCCCCGCCAGCCAACTTGGATGAAGTGTTAACCCCCACGACCGACAAATCCGAAACACTGCCCACCAAAACAGGAACAGCCCAAAAGAAGAAGATTCGACCCATCAAAACCGCAAGCCTCCCTGCCAAAGTCCAAACCCCCCCCAAAGACCAACCCGCCATAGCTCCTCCCGAACCATGTGACGAAAATGAGCCAGATGACGCGGACAAATCCTGCTATCGCCAATATCTCCCACCTATAATGAAGGACTCAGTGAAAAGCATCCTCAACCCAAGATCCGATGGTCACTGTGGCTACCGAGCGGTTGCGTGGTGTTTGGGACGAGACCAGGGTGATTACATGCGGATCCGCGAGGGACTCATCACCGAAATCACCAGCCGGAGGGAATGGTATGTCAAGAAGCAAATCTTCCATCGAATCGACAAGATGTTGGACAGCCTCAAGGTCGACACGCCTGAACCCTGTTCTGTTGACAAATGGATGTCAATGCCTTCCTTTGGTGAAGCTATGGCCAATGCCTTCGAGACCACCGTTTTCTTCTTTTCTCTACATGGTTCTCTAAGTTTTCTCCCTTATTTCTGTCCCCCCAACAACAATCCCCCCATCTGCATTGCTCATGTCCCCAATCACTTTGTCGCCTTGGAAATGTTTGACCCTGTATACTTTCCTGCACCACAACTTATGAAAGATTGGAAGGAAGACGCCGTACCAGAGGCTTTACCGTGGGAGGAGAAGTATTCCGCTTGTCATGTTCTGACTGTTGGACGCAAAATTTTATTCCCAGGGACTACTCATTACTAATTTTAATCTTCATGTCTTCCTCTCCTTCTCCATATTTTGTCTCAGATTAAATTTCTTGCTTATGTTCCCCTCCTTTTACTTGTGTCCTCTCCTTTAACTCTTCTTCTGTTTCTTTCAATTTATTGCTTCTGTTTCATTGATGTGGGTTTTAACTCCTAAGTAGTGCAAGTGAAATTCATGTTTTGCTTGATTCTTCAATCAATTGAATATTATTAGCAGTGATTTCTACTTTTGATGATATTTGGTCATTTAACCAACCAATAAGAAGGAAGATTTTGCCTCCCATATGCTCAAGAGGGCATACATTTCTCTCTGTTTTTACTGATATTTCCTTTTTGCCAATTTTTCCTCCTCTCATTGGAGGATGATTCCCTGAATTCTTGTATCTCATAATTACATTTGATTTTCTAATTTATGTTGTTAGTTTTTATCATTTAAACTACAATACTATTGTATTTTATTTTCTTGTGTTCCATATTTTATTTAATTTATTGTTTTATTTTATTTTATTTTATTGTTTTGTTTTATTTTATTTTGTTCTGTTTTACTACATTTTGCTGTTTTATTTTTACTTTTATTCAAGGGGCCCCTCATTCAATGGGGTTGGATTTTTAAATGTCTTGATGGATTTATTTTTATTTTATTTTATTTTATAGTTTTTTTACTATTTTTGATGGTTTTCTATTTATTATGTTTTTTGTCGTTCCGACTCCCATTTATTGGAGGAACGACTCCCAAATCCCCCCGGGGGATTTCTTTTTTTTTTAATTTTTTTATTATTTTTTTTGGAGTTCCGACTCCCAAAATAGTCGGACCCTTTGGAGGTCCGACTCCCAAATTTTCGGGGAAAAAAAAATATAGGGGGATCGACGTCGAGAGGACCGTCCGCAGCCGGTCCTCTCGACGTCCCAAATATTTGGGAGTCGTTTAACTAAGACCCTTAATTTATTTATTCATTGTACTTTAATTTTTATTTGTTGTATTTACATTTTTATTTATGCTGAAATGCATTTTGATTAGCCTGATTTTATCAATCAGATTGCTCAAAAAGATGCGGAACATTCACTTTCAACCTCATCTGAAGACTGAATTTCAAAAAGTTCAACACATATGTGAAATCATCTCAAAGCTTGGCCTGACTCCCAAGAAGTTCATCCAGGCTTTCCTCACAAATGGACACATTCAATTGGCCTTGCGGCGAGGAAACTGGGGCAACCAGAGCGGCTGGCCCTCAACTTTGAATATAATTCAATCAATCAAAGGACTCACAATGAAGAAGAAGACAGGACGTCATCTCTGGAAGGATTTGATTTTAAAGGAGGCAAGTGTTCTGTACTTTTGCCGCTTTTTTATCAGCTTTTGTGTTGATTAAATCCTGTTCAATATTTTTAACAGGCCAAGATCTATGTTATTGCTGAGTCTCCTAAACGTGGTACCTTCCCCAATGGCGCATATCACAGCTCAAGAAAGGTGGACAACAATTTCTTCACTCGAAAAGCCAAGGAAACTCGCGAAAAAAGCCTTGTGGAAGAAGAAATGCCGTTTTTACACGATTTACTTCTAGCCAAGCTGACGAATCGCATAAAAAGAAAGCAAGAATCTGGAATTCTCGATGATGACGATGTGGAATCCGCTTGCTCCAATGATAGTCTTGAAGAAATCAGTTTTGACAATGAAAATTCTTCAACAGTCGAACCTACAAAAGATTATAAAAAGAAAGAATCTTTGAATAAGCGAGAGACCCGTGCAAAATCAGTGGGCAAACATCTCTCAATCTTTATTTTCTCCATACTAATGGTGTGGTCTCTGTATTCTTTTCAGACTGCTAAAACCATATGTGCTATGGTTGCTTTTGGAGAAAATCGACGGGCAAATTCCATGCAACTATGGAACTCTGTCATCTTTGTGGCGTGTGGGGTGACAGAACGAATAAATAGCTACCTTAACTACATTGGTCTTACAATGTCTAGAAAAACAGGTCTCTCAGCTCTGGTTTGGCTAAGTGATACAACCCGTAAAACCCTTGCCGGCCAAGAACTCTCAATCAAATCAAGGAAACCAATCTCTCCATTTATATGTATCGATAATATCGACTTTGAGGAACGCATCCACTTCCAGTCAGTTGAAAAAACCAGCCACATGTTCCATGGAACATGGGGCTATGTTCACACACTTGATCCAACTCTTATCGAAGGCCACGATCCAAAGGATTTCTCGCTCGACAGCTACAAGCAGGCGATCAAAGACTCTGCCAAGTTGAAGATTACACCACCAATGTTTATGCCAACATTTGAAGAGGAGATTCACTTTCGTGCAGCCATCAAGAGGCAAATTGCTCAAGTAATGATGACTTACATAGCTACAACAGACGATCCGAAGAAACTTGTTCCTCTTGAACCACCAAAAATTGATCAAATTACTGCTAAAAAACCACAGATCACAATGCTCAAACTAATGCTGGCATCCGACAACTGCGCTGAAGGAGTCGGAAAAATCTTCAGCGACATTATAGATCAAACATATCTTACCCCCGAACAGTTTTTCTCAGAGCTTCAGGTGATGGAGGGCGACCTTGGAATGATTATGAACCTAGAGTGCTTGCAATCACAAAGGAAACCCAGTGGTCACAAAGAAGAAAGCCTTGGAAACATCTTCATGCTTTTGGGGGCCGCTCACACCTTGTGGAATATTGGCCAGGCTATCTTCCTGAAACACTTTGGAAATAATAAAAACCAGGATGATCTTGGAGCATGGAGGACTCTTCAAGCCCTTGGCCTTCCGTCGGAGAAACCAGCTGCGAAAAAAGACTTCACACTTATGCTCACCAATATGCAGAAGATCCATGAAGCAACACTTATTCACTGTTTACTGTATGTTTTTTCTTCTCTGCTTATCATCTTCAATCTTTGCTCACATTACACCTTATCTGCATTAGATTAGTCATGGGGATTCCTCGAAACAGCCTACCAAACGAAAAGCTTAAATTAACAGCCAAATCAATCAACCATGCCATTGACCTATGCTACACTCGTTTCTTCGGCTGCACGGCACTCCAAAACGCCGACAAATCTGATTCTCCAAAGCTTTTCAACCTCATGACCCGCTTACGTGATTTTGCTACTGTTATCAAAGCCAATCGAGCAATGAAAGCAGGCGATATTGGTCGATTATTGAATATCTGGCGGAGATGGTCTGTAATGGCACAAGGCATCACTGGTTTAACTCACTATGCAATACACCTCCCTCGAATGATCCTCTTAATCACGAAAGTTCTCCCGCCTGCTCTCTGCCATGCAATCCAACATTCACTCCTTGTCACACCAAGTGGACGGCCAGGTCATTTTGTGGCCAAGGATTTCTTGCTTGAAACATTTAACTATTGGCTCAAATTTATGTTCAACAAAAGCGGTATTGGCACAAAGGCTAAGCGATTGAGGGATCTTTTTTCTTCAAATGTGCCCTTGGTAAGTTAAATCCTGGCTGAATCATGAATACTTCTTGCTGATTTGACCCTTTTTGAACTATCTGTTTGAAGCTGCAACGTTTAATTCGATCAATCAAGGAAGATTCGGGTGCCTGCAATTATTATCAATCACACAAGCATCAACTCACACTTCAGTCAATCAATGCATTCCTTCGCATGGCAATCACCAAGTCCATTGGAGATAATACGGATTCCACAAAGACAGCATCAATTCCAGCTCCAGCTCTAGAAAAAGGTAAAAAGAAAACCAAAAAGAAATTAAAAGGAAAAGATATTGATATTATGAGACGAGGCATGGAAGTCATGCAAAATGATGCTCTCACAGGGGGAACTATTCTAAATCGCTTCCGACCATCTGAAACCCTTCTCAATCCTAGTTGGATGTTTGACGAGGCTTCTTCACTTCCTATTTCACCTGGCGAGCTTGACATTTCACTGGAAGATTACTTTGGCCCTCTGGAAAATGATGATTGTTGAATTTTCTCACAGTCACAATAATACATGCATTAAAGACTAACAAAAAGCCTGTATTTCCTTTCATCTTTACCCAAACCAGATATTTATTTTTATTCTTTTTCTGTATCATGAATTAAAGCAAAGCAGGATCCATTGATTCATCAACAAGCACACTTTTAGAGGTCTCAGGATCAGAAGCATTGGGCCTTGTATTATGTCGATCAATCTCCGCTTGAGCCTGAAGTTGATGTAAGAAAGCCATGTCACTCTCTCTCTTGGCCTTTTTTTTTCTCGCTTTTGATGAATTTGGCCTCCTTTGCGGTACGTTTTTTCTCAGCATTGGCTTTTACTCTGGCAGCTGTATCGATTTTCTTCTGAGCCGCAGCTTCTTGGATGGCTCTTGTGGCTTCAGCGCGTTGGTTATCCTCGTCCTCTTTTTCCTTTCGCAATCGGGCTGCTTTCGAGTCAAGTTCAGCATCCAATTCTTCCTGACGATGAGAGATGTATTGGTAGGAATCGGTTGATTGAAAGAGTGTGATGTGATCAAACAACATTTTAAATTGACCGGTCAACATTTCATTCCCAATCAACTGTTCAATGTTGTCCAGAGTAAGGTGCTTGGTATTTCTTGAAATCTTGCGGGCATGTATGATACTGAAGTAGGCGTCTGGTGGATATGCTGCAGCACCTTTCATCTCGGAATCGAAAAAATCGCAAAAGTACCGAACCAATGCCTGTGTGAAGGCTTCAAGAATCTCGTGCAATGGTTTTTTCCCAGATTCTTCAACCCAATTAATTTGATTGTCAGCCACTTGTTTTTCTTGTCTAATTGGAAACAGCTCGGCTATGTCTTGCGGTGAGTCGGATATAAACGAGTCAAAATTGTTGATGTTTGCTCGTTTAAAGTTGTTGATGACCCATTTGCTGCTTTCGGGTTTACAATTTGAACAGCTGCATTCACTAAAGCCTGCATCAACTTCACGTTTTGCCTCTCTCTTGTAGTTTGGATCGTCAAAAGACAGAGGAATGTACCCTAGTCTACAGTCAGATCAAAAGTCAGTATTATCCCTTTTATTTATCAAACTTATATGACATACCGATTATCTAGCGAAAATGCTATTCGGAGGCAAACTGGTGTAATTGCTAACGCGTCCATCCTGTCGTCGTCGTTCTGGAGCTCGACATTGGTGAAATCACTGACTGAGTTCTTTCCGTTCTTGCGATGTGGCTCCACAAACATAATAGCCAGGCCTTTTTTACCATCTCTCCCGCAACGTCCGAGCATCTGACATATCGAAGCTGGGTCCCCTCGGCCCATGTGGATGACGCACCGGACCCTTTTCCAGTTTTGGCCCAACCCAAGCGCCATGGTTGAAGATACCACGGGGAAAACGCCTTTTGTGAAATCACCGGTCACATCAGATTTATCCATATCACCAGTGATGGAGTGGTAGCGTCGAGCAAAGGCGCTGAAAGGATCGTCTTCTTGATTTGCCTCACGCGCATCGTTGACGACATCAAGGACTTGTCCGGTGAGGTTTCTGGTGGTTGAATAGATTAATGTTGGTATGATCTCATTGTCTGGTGTTTGCTCTTGAGTACTGTACAGGTCAGCAAGGTCTTCCGATGATGCCAGGGACTTTTGCATATCGATCCGCAACATACGAATTTCCGGTCGGGTGAGTTCAGCTTCAACAAATGTAACCATTTGCCTGGTAAGCTTGAATGATTCAAGAATACTATTGATTGCGATTGGGCGGCAGGTGGCGGACATCATTAGCAGGGGAGTTCCATTAGTCGCCATCAACCTAGCAGCCAGTTCACCGTATCCTGGTCGGAAGACTCCACGCTCTCCATGTTTTAGATGGGAGGTAAGCCCTTTTGATTGGCCATTGGCAACAAGTCCCCACACATACACCATATGTGCTTCGTCCACGACAATCAAGGACAGCCGGCTTTGAAATTTCGGATTAAAGTATACATCCCGGAAGATTTCATTGTTAAGCAAGGCTTCTGGGCTCTGTTACACAAGAAATCTATGGTCAGTTCCAACTCTACATTTTGTCTTCTTTTGATCCACTGCAATTTATTTTATTCTTAGACTTGAGTAGCTCACCAGGTAAACAAATTCAAACTCCCCGGAAATGATCTTCCTCGCCATTTTTGCATCCAAGACGTTACTGGTCAAGTTGACTGCTTTAATATGTCTATTATTGACTCCTACTTTCTTTTTTTCTTCAACCTATCAAAAATAAAGATAACAGTAACAATGTCAATGTAAGATTCCAAATTATCCAAAGTAGTTATTTATTTTGGGAAAATTAAATACATACCTGATTGTCTCCAAGTGAATCCAAAGGATTCAAGACCAATACAATAGACTTTTGATACGGTTGAAACATATTGTGATACATTTCTGCTATTCGAGTCTTTCCAAAACCAGTACCTGCAAGGACAAACGTGTGCCGGTCATGGACTAAGGCGGCTACAGCTTTGAGTTGTTCATCCTTGGCCTCATCGCCATAGAGATTTCTGGACTCGACTCGGATGTGCTCTTTGAGCTCTTGGTGATTGAGCTCTAGGATATCTTGGCGCAAGGTGACTCTCTTCTTTGAGGTTGCTTGCAATTTTAAGCTGGCTAACTCGTCCGGAAGAGACTCTCCACGATTGAGAGCAGCAATCTCATCAATGACCTCAGACTCTGTGATTCTTTGACCGGAATTGGAATCTTCTTCATTGCTAGAATCATCTTCAATTGGATTGGAAGCTGAGATTCTTTGCCCGGAATCAGAATCTTCCTCATGGCTAGAATCATCCTCAATCGGAATTTCGGTTTCACTCTGATTCATTTTGTTGCAAACGGAAAGGCTAAGCTTTTCTTGCTCTGATTCAGCTCGCCACAAACGGTTGAGTTCCCTTGTCGCAAAAGGAAGGACGGTAGTGCCGTTCTCTCGTCGCAAAAGGGAGGACCGTTGTCGCAAAAGGAAGGACGGTAGTGCCGTTCTCTCGTTGCAAAAGGGGGGACCGTAGTGCCTTTGTTGCAAACGGAAAGGCTGAGCTTTTCTTGCTCTGATTCCGCTCGCCACAAACGGTCGAGTTCTCTTGTCGCAAAAGGAAGGACGGTAGTGCCGTTCGCTCGTCGCAAAAGGGAGGACCGAGTGCCTTTGTTGCAAACGGAAAGGCCAAATGTTTCTCAATCTGATTGAGCTCGCCGCAAACGGTCGAGTTCTTTCGTCGCGAATGGAAGGACGGTAGTGCCTGTCTCGTTCCAAGGGAAGGACGTTCTTTCGTCGCAAAAGGAAGGACCGGCAGTGCCGGTCTGCTGTCTTGCTTCATTTCCTGTCTCTCTTGGCGAACGGAAGCTCTCTGTCTTCGCAAACAGAAGGACCGGTTGAATTCGATTTCTCTCTTTGGAAACGGAAGGACCGGTAGTGCCAGGTTCCGGGTCCGTTTTTGTGGTTTTAACGATGGCGGATGGTCAAGAGTCGATTTCTCTAGTATCTGACTGACCGATCCTTTGTCTTTTCAACAATCAACTTGTGCTGTTATACACCGTTATGCCAGGTGTGATTTCATTTGGCTTACTAATTAAAAACAAGTTGTTGAAAAAAAAAAAAAAAAGCGGGGCGATCTTAACTTAGCATCGGTAACTCAAGTTGAAAAGTGATCGTTTTCAATGACGATCAAGAGGATGGCAACACAAAATAAAAAAAAAACTGAAGACACAAGAAGAAGAGTAAGAAGCAGGCCTTCATGGCCTGGGAAGGAAATCATGTACAGGTCGATGAGACGACGGCTACAAAAGGTTAAAGACAAAAATCGTGGTTTTCAACCCAAATCCACGAACTCAGCACGCGGGCCTCGTCACATTTGTCTTAGGCCTCCACTGGCGTGGACAGCTCCGCTGCTCGCTCCCGCTCCCGCCGTGGAGGCCTAGTTAGGCTCGGATTGGGTTCAATTCCGGACAGTAGGGTGGAAGGTAAAGGAGTTGTACCCCAGCTGCGTTGCAAAGCTCTCTGACACGGTCACCTCGATGAGTGGTAGCGTTGTCACAAACGAGGACAGAATTGAAGTCAGGGTACCTATTCATTCGAGGGAGCTAAAGAGAAGAAAGTCAGTTCCAAAAACACCAGGAAGAGTTAAAAAATAAGAAACCGACCAAGTCAAATTCTAAAAAGTGCTCAAACTTGCGACCGACAAAGGTCTCCAAAGTAGTGGTGAGGGCCAGCATTCCATCAAGTGAGATGGCCGGAAGTAAGCTCAACCTCTCTGCATTCTGGTTGGTAAGGAATCTTGCAGAGGGGGTCCCTTTCTTTGATCTGGCAAACGATCGAAGTAGATCCTTGTCTGTGAACGAGCTTTCATCTGAACAAAGCAAAAACACAGGTGCATCGAACAAAGCAAAAACACAGGTGCATCAGCTGATGTTAACAATTGATACAATGCTTGAAAGCTCACCGGTAAATACAAGGAAGTCAGCAGGGAAGAACTCCATTCGTTCAACGTATGCGTACTTGGCAGTAAGTGACTTTCGGATGTTCTTTGTGTCTGGTTTTTTTAAGGTGATGGATAAACGCTCGACAAGGGTCCTGTGAACGCCTGAAATACTGAGGAGGGTGCCAGATGCATCATACAATTGCTCTCGTATTTCGTCCAGGAAGAGGCCAGGCTCTGATCGGACAAGCTGGATCATGAAAGTTGACTCATCTTGCGTGAGGCTAGCAGGTCGTCCACGTGCCTCATAAGTATCTGGATCTCTGATGATGCATCGGGTTTCTTCGTAGAGTTGGTTCCATCGATGGAAAGATTGTTGTGAGAATCGAACACCAAGCATGTTCTTGATGAGTGCAGCGGAAAGACCTTGCTTGGCCATTCGGACAACAGCGATTTTGGTTGCCGGGGCGTGGAATCGGTAAACCATTGGTGGTTGGTGTTGAAGAGAAGGATTGATGAGAAGAAGGGGGGGTGTGAGGATAGTGCTGGTTGAAAGAAAATGTGAGATGGTTTGTTTGGGGATGATCATTGGTTGTCACATCATATCACTGTTGTGTTGGGCAGAAACAACAGGATTAAACATGTGATATGCATCACAAGTGCATACTTTAGAATTTCAGAAAAGCAAAAAAATCCAAGCTTTTTTCAAAACACAATATCTTATTGGATCCTTATTTGTGGGATACTTGCACAAGATCATCTCTTGAGATCTATATCATCAAATTCGAAGCATACTCACATTGCACCATATCCATCTCCCTGGATGGGAGGCATTACGGAGGACACGTCAGAAGATACGTCTCATGAGTCACCACTCTCTGGTTGAAAAGGAATCCGTATTTGGCCAGCCAATGTTTGCGCTGGATGCTAGAGAGATAATTTCAGATGTCAGCAATTCCCTAATTTGTGAATTTGAGAGAAAGTGTTTGTTGATTCCCAACTTCAATTTTTTTTGGCAGGATTTAAGGAATCCCTTGGTCGCCCCCCACTTGGATTTCCTGCCGGAAGATGCACATGGCAAAGGCATATTCAAGACTTCACAGTCAGCGAAGTGGCTCAAACATCTGGCGCCAGATATACGTGTACAAATGGTGGCTTATAACAAGAAACACTACTATACTTATGAGCCGGTCCAACTCAAGAATGACAATATCATTATTCCCATATTTTTCTACACACTTCAATCTAACACCTTTGCAAAATGCTACAAGCCACAAATTACATCAAACCGGCACAACTCTACGGTGAAGATAGCTATTGCCAGTGATATCTTATATGATGATCCTGATTTACAAGAAATCAACTTGGACGATTTTGATCTTCTCTATTCTGAAATTGTTTCAAGTGATGGTCTAAAACTATTGGAATACTGCGGGAACTTGCTTTATGGTAAGAAATATGCTTTGTATTAATCAAAAAATAAGAGATAGCTCAATCATATGTATTTTGACCTTTGCAAAGAGCAAAACAGTGAAGGCACAATTAAGCTACCAAATCCTTGGAGGGAGAAAGCCAATGGGAGGATAATTCGACACGTACCCGTGAACATGTATTGTGATGATACTTCTGGAAATAAATCAAAGAAGTGGAACAAACACATCTCTTATTACTTTACACTCTCCGGATTACCTCCAAATCTCTCAAATCAACAATTCAACTGCCATTTCTTGTGCACTTCTAACATTGCTGGAGCTCTGGACCTTGGAGAGATTGTGGTCCAACAGTTAAAGTACAATTATTATTTATTCAATCCTAATTTAATCCTTTTTATGAGAGATGATTTTTGTTCAATTTACTGAATTTTCAATACTTTTATTCATTCAGTGAGATGGTGAATGATGGATTTGAAGCATATGACATGATTCTGTCTCAAAATGTTCTTGTTATGGCTCCACTGTTATGCTTCTTGGCCAACTCTCCGATGCAAGCTGAGATAACCAACACTCCTGTCCCTGGACCTTCGTTGAATCCCTGTCGAGTTTGTGTCCTCAGTTCCAAAACAATCAAAGACAGGAATACACTCGGTTACATTTCAAGATTCGTAAATAAAAACACTCATGGATCAAATGTATTTTGCTTTCTTCTTTTTCAAAGCTACTACAGTTTTTTTTTCTAATTGTCTCCTTGTTTTGTTAATAAAAAAGCATCCCAATAATCTGAGAACTACAGAAAAAACAATTAAAGACAGTGAAGAGGTTTGGAGATACGTCAAAGAAAATGCACTCACACTGAATTTGGAAAAGTTGAATGAAAAATCGGCTGAGTTTGGAATTCGAGATCAAACGAACCGCAAGTTTGCAAAACAAATCATTTCATTCAGAGAGAAAAAGAAAGAATTGCTCTTAGATGGAAAGGAAATACCGCCGGACATGGATCAACCTATTCCTCAAGACTTGGTTGATTTAGAATCAAAAGATAAAACACAGGTTCTCAGTCCTTTTCTGAAATTAAAAGGCTTGTGTTTTTATATCTTTTATTTTCAAATTTCCATTCTGATTCTAATTCCTGCATAATTTCCCTTAGGTTTTGATATGGTCAGGGACACCCCAGTTGAAATTTTACATGTCTTCTTGCTTGGAATTGTCAAGTACCTATTTACAGAATTCATGAGTAGATTAGATTAAGATCAAAGAAAAGAACTCAAAGCTTTATGGTATTCCTTCAACACCAACTCTCTAAATATTCCTTCAATCAGGCCCACTAGTATGGTACAATATTGTTCAAGCATAGTTGGTAAAGACTTTAGAATCATCCTTCAAGCAGCTCCCTTCATTTTCTTCCAATTTATGACGCCATCCTGTATCAAAATCTGGTCTTCTCTCTGCCATCTTTCTTCTTTAATCTTCCAAACACATATTGAGGACATGTCAGTTTATATTGCTGATTTGAAGAATCTTATTGATGTATTCTTAAATCAAATTATTCAAGATTCTGGCCAATGGGTTAATAAACCAAAATTCCACATGCTACTTCATCTTCCAGATTCTATTCTCCGATTTGGTCCAGCTTGCCTTTTTGCAACAGAAAAATTTGAAAGTTATAATGGTATTCTTAGAAATGCCTCAATTCATTCCAACCGCCAAAGCCCTGGCCAAGATATTGCCTTTACATTCAGCAACTATAACTCTTTCCGCCAAATTCTCTCTAGTGGATTCTTTTTTGATAAAAAACAAAAAAAATATGTACAAGCTTCCAACCCAGTTACAAATATATTTAAATATAATCCCTTAATTCAGAAAAACTTTGGGTATAATAATATTTCATCCTCAAAGAATATCCACTATCCTTCTATTTGTAAAATCCCAGTTGCAAAACTTGATAAATCAGAGGTTCCTCAAGACTTGAAATCGTCACATCCCGGGGAAGAAATCAAGCAAATATCTGAGTTGAATCTGAATGACAAGCAAGTCCTCAAGAAGCATTATTTTATTCTGGTATTTCTCCTTTCTTCTTGATCTGCATTCTTTCTCCTTCATTTCACAATATTGAAATTTCATTGATTGATTTTTTTTAGTTTAACAATAAATTTGATGGAACCCAACATATTGGACGTGTGAAATCACTCTGGAAAATCAAAAAAGATTCTCTTCAAGTTCAATTTTTCATTGATGTAACTATCTTTCAAATTACAGAGGAAAGCACTTATTACAGAATGCGACAGATCAGAAAAACTATGCAGACCAGTTTGGTGAACTCAAATGTAAGCCAGATTTTTTCACCTTACTGCCTGCAAAGTTGACAATGATGGTGTTTTTTTAGTGCATTGAGTCTGGATTGAATTGCCAGCACAACTGTGACCGAGGCGGATGCACCATCACCCCAACCGAAGAAGTTATGATTGAGAGGAGGAGGAGTACTGTCAAACGATCTGAAGTGATACATAACGATGATGACAACTATGTCATCAACTCGGCCTCGCTTTCGGCTCAAGTTTCTCACAGGAAAATTTTGGGTTTGAATTTCGCAGCTTTGCAGCCACTGGATTGGATTAACGCTCTGCATGATGGAGTGAAAAACTGGTGTAAGAGTGCGACAAAGAAAGAATCGAAAAAACGTAAACAAGCTACACCAAACAACTCTGGACAACAAGTTGATCCAAGATTAGCCTAAAAGTAATAAATGTTTTCACTAGTCATCCTTTTTTTTATATCTTGGTGGCGGTTAGGGGTTGTGTTTTCAGAAGAAAAGGACAAGGAAACAAAAAACAATCATGTTACAGTGATACTTTTGATGTCGTTGATGATTGACTTAAGGACAAGGAAACAAAAAACGATCATGTTACAACGATACTTTTGATGTCGTTGATGATCGACTTCTTGACTTTTTGGTAACAATTGTTGATAGTGGTCTGAGGCGATGAGATTGTCTGTATCTAAGAGCGGTGGTGGTCCTTGATATTGATTTCATTGGAAAGCAAGTATCCGGGTGGAATAATAAAACGGCCGAGTCCTTCATCCTGGCGGAAGATGCGGCGAGAACGTCAGACCTCTTGATTCCCAGAAGTCTGATTGGAATAACAAGAAATGAATGAACGATTATTTCCGGTCAGAAGGAATAGGGAGGGGGGTTATACTCCTAGAATCATGACATACTGAGGCCTTGGGCCCTTTCTCTGGGGATTTTTTCTCGACAGTTTTGTTGGCTGACTTTTGTGCGGTCACGGGGCTGATAGCTTGGGTGGGGCTCTTGGCAGGATCATCGGCAATCACAATGGGAAAATTGGCTGAACCTCCGGCGAAGGTGATACTAGGGCTGTGATTCTTGGCGATCGACGTCATTCTTCCTGGTGTTTGTTTGGGTGGTTGCTACCGATTGAGGTTGATCGAAACCCGCCGCATGACCTTGCATGGAGCGTCGAGCCAACTGCTGCTTGACGAAGCAGTTGGCTCGACGCTTTTGGCCTTGAGGCCAGGCCAACGGCGGTGATGCTGTTCTTCTACCTGTAGCTGCCGTCAGCTCGCCTGATTTGGCGGGATTGCGCAAAAATGGTTATGGCCAACCAGTGCTCGACCGCGGGGTCAAGCCGACGGAGCGCCATTTCCAGAACCGCACCCGTGGTGTACATAATGTTGGACAGATATTGCAAATTTAAGTATTGGCTCACAGTTGAAATATTTGAACTCAATGTTTCACCTTAATCAGATCCCTGCAACCAACCCATTGGGGGACATGAAACAGTCTGTGGATGTTGTGTGCATTATTTAAAGAGAGGTGGAGGGTGTAGGAGGAGTGCAACTTTGGATCATGGAGGCAAAAGATGGAGACAAGATTCAAATGACCAAGATTTCTAACTGTCTACTGTGGTATGCAAATTAGTTTACTCTTGGCCAAGGTACAGTGGGTAGACAGTGAAAAGTGGCTGCTAATTTTGGATTCCAGAGCTCCAAACCATGGACTGGAAGTCATGAGACTTGGTCAAGTGATGCAGAATAGGTTCTAAAAAATGAATATGAAAAAATAAAAACAAAAAACAAAGTTGCAAAATTTGTGAAAAATAAAAAATAAATTTTATTTTTCTCAAAAGCTTTGAAATTTATTTATTTTATTTTATTTTTTTTTGGGGGGGGGGGTGAGAGTGCTGAGAAAAAGGAAGGTTAGGATATTAGAAGAATGATTATAAATGAAAATCTTGGAAAAATTGGTTTCTAGATGGCTTCAAACAGCTGTTTAGTGGGGCATTCACCAGCCCACATTGCAGTAAAGTGCTAGAATTTACTGTTTTGGACCCAATTTAGACAACCAACCAGGCCAAACCTTTTTTGGTTCCCATTTTTTCATTTATAATCATTCTTCCCATGTTCCGTTCTTTCTTTCTCTCAGCACTCCTACTCCCCCAAAATGAATATTAAAGCTTTTGAAAAAAATCAATTTTATTTTTTATTTTTCACAAATTTTGAAAGTGTATTTTTGGTTTTTATTTTTTCATTTTCATTCTTTGGAACATATTATGCACCATCTGACCAAGTCTCATGACTTGAAGTTTGTGTTTTGGGACTCTGTAATCCAAAATAAGCAGCCACTTTTCACTGTCTACCCACTGTACATTGCAGTTCAGAGGGGATGTGGTTGGTTAGCTTGACAGTTGATGTGCATCTGCACGGTTGGGGGCCGACGTTTAGAACTTCAGATGCTCAATGCTTACTTGCCGCATCAAATACTATCACAGGGCGGGCTGCTACACAACATGAATTCCCATTAATTGTAGAAATGAAGTTAACATTGTGTCACATTGAGCATGCAAATTTGATATCAAATTCTTATCCTTATTTATGCCCTAATGGAGCACTCAAAGGAAATCAAACAATCTTGATCGGCCCCAAAAGCCATACAACGACCTTCAACTTCCGCTAGCCCTCTGCTCTTGGCGTTGCATCGTGAAAACTTGAATCGAGAATAAGCAAGAAGATGCAAACCGTTTTGGGGGATTGGAGCTTGGTCGAGGTCGAGATGTAAAGGCTGGTTTATTTTCAGCGCGTCGGCAATCCTAGTCGCATATCTGGAATAGCTATCGGGGCCTGGTACCGTGGCTGACGGGCACGCTTTTCCTCCTGATGGGTTTTTTGGTCGATTGGACAATTACATCAGCAAATCGTTAGAGGCCATCGCAATAGGAGATGATAACGTGATAGAAAGTCATCGACTGACCAGAGAGACCTCGTTGTCTCCATAGACCAAGACTTGACCAGGCTTGAGAGTTACTTGACTGTTGACAATCTTGTAGGGCTGGGCCGGCGTCGAAGGGATAGTCGCTGCTGAGCCAGCTTCGCCTGGTGTTGCCGTCTGAGAGCCAGTGGGTGGTGCGAGCGGTGTAGTCATTGAGGGGGCACCTGGGGGTGCAAATGGTGGTGCGCCAGGCATCATACTACATAACATTAACCCCAACAGGAGATGAGTTGAATGTTTTTACGGGCAGTGTAAGTCAAAGAAGAACACTTACCCAAGTCCTGGTAAAGGGAGCATCCCAGGTGGAGGAGGCATTCCAGGCGGTAGCATTCCTGGTGGTGGTGGGAACGGCATGCCTGGGGGCAGCATTCCGTGGGGCATGGGGGGCAGAGACATTCCGGGAGGAGGGAACGGCATGCCGGGGTGTGGGGGCATCATGGGGAACCCCGGAGGGGGAGGCATGGGCGCTGAGGAGGCCGCAAAGAGGCCTGGGGGTGGGACGGAGGGGGCTGAAGTGGGTATGGTTGGGGGCGCGGCACCGAAGGGCGGGCCGGCTGGGCGGGAGAGGATTCCGGCAGAGATGCCATTCATCAGGGCGCGATGTTGCTGCAGCTGTGATCTCAGTTCTTCAGGTGAGATCACGCCGAGATAGATCTTCGGTCGTTTCCGCTTCTGTGCCTCGGGCTCAATGCCCATTGCTTCCGCCTTGCGTCGCTTCCAATCAGCCAGGTCGTTCGCCGGCACACCTTCCATTCCATATATCTCAACATCAAATGTATCTCGACCGGGCATCGCATTTTCAATTCTGGCCAAGTTCATAGAGATTTTCTGTGTCAATATTCCAAGTAAGATTGAGATAGATGGTCGCAGCAACTAAAGCAATTTACCTGTCTGTAGGCAATTTATGCACTTGATCGATGTGAACCGCCAAACCACCGGCCGTATTCAATCGACGAGGACAGTGGGGACATCTGAAATGTTTTGCCTTCTGATGCTGTAAAAGAACTGAAGGGGCAGAAAATGAATATCTGGATTAGATCGAAAGCGAACTTGGCTGAAAATTATGGTTGAGAAAAGCTGCTTGATTCGACACCTTTGGCATCCTCGAATTCTCTTTCGCAGTACCAACAGAACACCGCTTGCTATGATCGATATAAATCAGATGTGGATAATCAGCAAAGTCACTCAGAACTAGCTTGGACTGAAAGGAATAGACTGACTTGAGCCTTTCGGAGTCGCTTCTTCTCTGCCTTCGTACGCTTCTTGCTAGTGGGTTGCTTGGCGGGCACTAGAATGCATAAGGCCCCAAAGGATTAGTAAGATGACTGCTGATGAAAACGTAGAAATCGACTGACTGATTGGTTCAGGGTTGAGATCGAAGTGTACAGCCTGGTGGGTTTGCTGGCGCTTTCCGGCAGGGGGTGCTGCCTGCTATTACCACGGGCCAACGGTGAGACCCCCAGACCCCGATATAATCCCCGATGACCTTTCTGTCTCGATCTCAACCCCGGATGCGATCCCCACATACAACCTGCATGGCCTAGCATGGCCTACTTTGAAATCAATGGCAATTTTTTTTGGCCTTTAAAAAAATGTGTGTCATGGAGAAGAGCATACGAAATTTCCTCATACATTTTCTTTTGCAAGAAAGCAGAGCTCCAGATCAATTGTACATTCATGGTCCCAACCCAACTTGATTCAGATCCCTCGAGAATCATTCCATCAAACTCCTCCTGAAATCGTTTGCATAAAAAAGCTGCACTAGTGAGCACTGAATGTTTGTATGAAAGACTACAACTGTTGATGCTGTTGTGACCTGTTATGACTGGTTAGTGTAGGGGCATTGATCGCCGATCGGTGATAAATTTGCACTGTTTGATCGGACTCCGAAAACTTCATGAATCACAAACTGCAATCCATAAATAACTCCTGTCTTGTGTCACTTTATCTTAGCTTACTTCCCTCATCGTAACAGCAGGAACGAGTTGTCTTGTACTTCATAACTATTGATAGATATTATTCCGAGGTAAGAATTTAACATTTTGGCACTGTCAATTCTTGAGAAACAATCCCTTGCTTTCAAGCCAACGTTTTCCTCAAACCAATTCCCTAATGTCGACATGTATAGGTCGAGTTGACTTACTACTCGTTGCGCAACCGCATTACTGGACTATACTTGAAGCGGTAAGCGGTACTCTTGTTGAAAATTGAAGGTGGGCTGATCTCAAAAATTGAATGACCCACGATTTCTCTGAAGAAGCAAGGCCAACCAACTCGCAGTGATCAATCAAGATGAAAGCTTCATTTCCATCCATCTTCCTCATAATGCTCACAACCTCACTGGCAAGTAGAGCAATAGGTCTATTGGTAAAAGAACGCAGCGCCAAGGTGACCGATCCTTTGGTCAAACAATGGGAACTGGCCCCTCACATCCCATCTCGTTATAACCCACCCAAAGAAAAGATTCTATACATCTCGAAGGATTCCGGCCTTGCATTTTTCCCTTACCAACCTCACTGGCTCGTGCACAATCAGTTGACCTGTCCGATTACAATAAAAATACACTTCAAGGATGCCAATAATCAACCTTCAAATGTTGATCGCACCATTGACCCTGTTTCCTCTAGTGATCTAACTCTAAATTCCTCTGAAGGACTAACTATAGATGTTCTTTCTGTAGGAGAATTGCAATAGTATTTTAGAATGTATACATCTTCATGCTCTGTGCTCATCAACACAGTGGGGCTTTCACTGGACTACACTGCTAATAAGGTTGCCTATTGGGTAGCTGCATCTGTGTTAGGTTCTGAGAATTTGTGCCAATATTGCATTAGTTCAAGTGTCCAATTTTACATTAACTGATGTGATATTACATCACTACTGTCCTATACTCCTATCATTCCAGCTGAGCAGGGCTCCTACCAGTCCAAGCAGGCAGGTTGGACTTTGAAGATTGAAGATGGCATCTTATTCCTGACTGGTTGTCCATAAACAACATCCATGTCATGTTGAACTGTGTCAGCTTGGCTGGTACACCCAGCCACTTGGCAAGTGCACTTTCCCAGACAACTTCAAAATTGGTGTGCAGGTGTTTTGGAACTTCACTTGTACTGGTCTCCATCTTTTTTCTTTCTCAAAGATGTCACTCATTCTTAATCATCTGTTTATGTTATGCAAGATAATTGTTTCTTTGCTATTCATTATGCACCATTTTGGACCCACAGCTTGATCAACATGTACCTAAATTACTTATGAATCCTAGATAATAAGGAGTAAAATCATCAGTCCAGCTTGTACCTGATCCTGAGCAGATACTTGAGCCTCTTCTCAGCCTTATTTTAAGTGCACTTGATCCCACTCAAGTAAGATTATCAAGTGATTAGACAGTCTAATTTTGGCCTTAAGCCACACTTTTTCCCCCCTTCTGTTGGCCAATTCTCAATAAGATGCACACACCATTATTGTTGGCTAGGGGGAATACACACCAATCAATATTCAACTGTTCCCTTGATTTCTGTTTTGAGCTCCTAACCATCAAAAGAATTGGTGTGTAACCCAACACACCAAAAATGAGGTGCTTGGGTGCACACTTTTTCTTTTTTTGGTGCGTATTTGGGTTTCTTTTTTTGGGGGGGGGGATGGGGTGATTCTTTTAATGTTGAAGCCCTTGATTGAATTGTGCTGTGCCAGTGACAGCCTACAACCTATAAACTGTTGCAACTATTGGAATTCTGTCTCAAAGGTATCATCTGCATCCCATTGGAATGCTAAACAGAACCTTGAACCTTGTTTTTTCTGAAGCTGTGATTCAGGAATCCAGGCTTTGGCAAGGACATGCAAAGCCAAAGTTTAGATTCTCAAGAATTGAGCTAAACAAACTGCTATGTAACTGGTTACTGCTTGGTATCAATGCAAATGAAGAGATGCATGACTCAGATCCAAAAGGGATATATAAATGGAATTTACAAAGCAAAAGTAGATGACAATGTGGTTGTGAGAAAATGAATGGGGAGAAACAGAAAATTTTGAAATTATCAAACATCCTGAAATGGAAGGCTTCCTATGTAGTAAAAAAAGACAGAGGAAAATAAAGGTGAGGAAAAGATTGTTTACTGCTAAGGGCCACAACTTCAGAAAGAGATCTCGACTGAACTACAGAACTGATACTGGAAATCAACAGTATGGAAACAGCTTTTTTTGGTTTTTTTAGGATGTTGATGTATATTCAGCTGATTTTACAACACACTACAGTATGAGTAAGTGTTCTGTTTTTTGCTTGAAAAAAGGTGCTTCGCTAGCAATTAGATACAGTGAAAATGGATGTACAGTCTGGGTATGATATGATGAGCTGATACTATGCAACACGGAAGCGAAAGATGGATGAAGGTGGATTGACAATAAGATGGCCTTCAACTGGATAAACACTAATACGCAAAACGGGCGATACTCGATAGTAGAAGTCTTGATAAACTCCACGGGAGGGAAAGGTCGAGACGAGTGTCCTTCAGATTTTAAATGGTTGACTAATGGAGAGACGAGCTAGAGGACGAGGGAGAGCTTCGTAGAAGCCCTCAGCAATGACAGATGAGATAAAGAGATGTGCGAATGGATTCTGCTCGCCGTCGAGCTTTTGGATGAAAGGCACACTTCCAAGGGCAAGGGCTAGGGTGAACCGGAAGCCGGAGTGTAGAAGCTGGCGGCAGCGATACGTCGGACGTCGAGCTGTGATTTGGCTGTCCGTGGCCGACGGTCATCTGCCGTTTTAGGCCGCGACTGAAATCGGTTGCCGGCGGTGTGAGGAGTTGCCCGGGAGGGCTGGGGAGCCATGCCAAAGACTGGGACGATCGGTAGCGGTGGTTGTGTGCGGCCCGGAAATCCTGAGCGAGCCGCATCTGCTGTGAAGGGACGGCGAAGCTGTTCGTTCGTCTTGGCTTTTCGGAGGTTGCGCTTGGCGACGTTTTCCTCATCAAAGGCCGTCATGGGCCGTAGGCGGCTGGCCGAAGCAGGTGCAATGGTCCTGAAGAAGTGTGCCTGGGCACGGGACAGCTCATCGTCGTTGTTTGACTGGGCACTTGTCGACGAGGGGAAGGTGTCTGGAGAGGGAATCGAGTCGCTTGTGGGTGGGTTGGGCTGGTATTGATGACGAGGAGGGGTACGCAGAAGCCTGGTAGTTGATTCGGAGAGTTTCCGGGAATGGTAGCCCATCAGTGACTTCCCTCGGGGTCGAGTGGTCGGACGTCCGTCGGAGTTGAGGGCAACAGCCGTCTTCTTAGAACCCATGTTTTTGATGATGGAGTTCAGAAGAGTGGGTTTCCGAGCATGGCTAGGGTCAAGGATCTCGGGGGAACAAGCAAAGGTGATAGGAATGAAAGCCTATGCGAACAAATGTAATCAAGTCGATAGTGGTGAGCATGTGCTCAGCATGACTTGATACAGAGAGATGGGGCTCACTCTTTCGCCAAGCATTGGTTTACCCATCAGACTTTTGCGCTCTTCGACCTCATACACTAATCGCCATATCCACTTGCCACCTTTGCCTTCCTTATCTTCAACGACGTACTTCCCAGCGTTCTTCATGTCGAGGTTTGCTTGCCGACTAATGAAGTCTCTCCTTCCTGCGGCATTGCGGTGAGATTTACCCTCCAACAAGACGTAGGCTTCTTCGTAGTCGGGTGCTACGACTTTGCGTAGTACTGGGACCTGTTGCATCGAATCGTAGTGAAAGGGATAGCCGACCCGCTCGGTGGTGAAGTAGAGTAAGTCATCCTCGCGGTTGTAGTAGTTGAATCTGAATACCGGGGCGATCTCCCTGAAGCCCTCTTGATCAAACCATATCTGAAGGGTGCGAAAGAGCTCTCCGACAGGTAGTGCATCACCTTCATTACTGTGAAGGATGCTCTTGTCGAGACTGTGGAAAGGGATTTGGTTCGTGTTCGAAGTATGAAACGAGTCACCAGTATTGGGGGTGATAGGGTGGATGCCATTGGAAGGAAAGAATTGATCAGGTTGAATGATTTGATACATGTTTGTTGAGGGTGAATCTAAGGTGCTTCCAGTGAAGGAACTATCGGCGGTACCAGAGCTCGAAGCCACACTGTCGGTGTCGAGGCTCAGTAGAGGATTGCTCGTGGGAGCTGGCAAAACGATAGCCAAAGGAGTGTGGGGGTATATTGCGCGACGACGAGCTTGGATGGGAGATGGACCAGGCTTGATATGGTCTTCAGGATATTGGGAGGGGGGAGAAGAAGGGCAGGATGCATGGCGCAGCGGGCCGACTGGCGGAATTTGAGATGCACCAGACTCCTCGATTGAACGAGTTACTGCGCCACATACTTCATCTGATACAGAACCTCTATCCTCCTTTCTTAGATTCGTCTTCGCCGGAATATTGAAGGTTAACTTGCGGGCCAAGGCTATCGGCTTGGGGGTGGTACCAGGAGTCTGTGCCACCCCCCGAATGGACGCCTTGGGGCGTCTGTCAGTTGTTGGCGTTAGACTGTCACTGGGTGCCTTGGAGGACTTGGCCTGCGTGGTATCGATTGGTGATACAAGTGTTTCCAACGCCACCATGTGTGTATCACCGGAACAATCAGGGCTTCCATAGTACTCACTAATCGTGAAAGCGCTGGTCGTACTGGCCTCACTGCCCGTCCGTTGGTGAACGGTGGCGTGACTACTGTCAGCTGTAGGCATCGTCGCATGGGTACCATGAACAGATTGGAATTCATCGTAGCCATCACTTTTAACCAACTCAGGGTCACTTGGCTCCATCGTAAAGGTGTTATCCGAAGGTGTTGGTGGTTCAGTGGTGCATGCACTGGAAAGAGACTCCATCGTGAGGCCGGAGGTAGAAGAAAGGCGACGCATGAAAGCGTTTGAAGGTCGCTCCAAGGAGGTGGCGAATGAGACGCATGGATCATCAACCGGCTTTGGTTCAGCAGATTCATTCTGCCCAAAAGCAGCAGCAAGTACTACAACGTACAAGTGGGTGTTGTTCATAGAGATTGAAAGATTGTACAAATGAAAGAGCGATTTATGGATTAGTTCAAGGAGATACTAGTCAGCTCTTTCCGGAAGAAATTGCCTTGATCTTGGTACAGCCACGCATGCGCCTCAGATCAAGGGAAATAAAACTCCGAGATTCATCCGAAGAGATAAGTATTGAGAAGACACTGACGTTGAGGAGAGACGAACAAGCTTTTGCCAACGTTCTGCGCCTCGTCAGCAGAGACGTGTTGGAGGGTTTCTTCGAAATCATCGGTAGACAAGTGAGGCTGGGAAATATTTTCAAAGAAGATAGGAATTGAAGCAGCTGAGACCTGCCGGCGTAAGTGCCTCAGGAGGATGAGTGAGTCGCCGGAGGTAGTCCGGCTGTGCACCGATTCTGGAGAGCCCATATTGACTCTTTCGCATTTACCTCTGCCGAAACCCCGAGGGGGAGAGCATTCACCTACGCTACTAGGGGTTGACAGAACTGAGCGGGGGATGGATTGAATGGAAAAAGTGCGAGAGATGGATCTGCTGTAAGGCAAGCCTGGTGAAGATGAGGATGACATGATTATGGGGTGAATTGTGGTTTGGGCGTTATTGTCGTTGAATTCTCCAGTGAGTGAAAGCTTTTATATAATAAGGTGAGAGGAGGGCAGGAGATGCACGCTGTAGTCTTCCTATAAATATGTTTTTGTTAAGCTGCTGCCCGGAGTCTTATCCATGACTTTGTGGACACCAATCAAATCTCGTCCAGAAGGGCATTTCAAGATAAACTGGCTAAAGGACAAGTTGCATGCCAGGGTATCTCGCAAGCACATAAGCTGATTTATGTGCGAAGCCCCGTAGGCGAATAGCTGTCTGTTCTCGCACAACTCGAACCATTAGCGGCCTTTCATGATCGCTATCTACCACTCGGCCAGGGGATGATGGTCAAGCCGAGTTCCTGATGGGGAATCGAGACCCGAGAGATGGCGGGCTAGGAACTCATTATGCCAATGAGCGGAATTTCTAACCACATTCTCTCGACCAACTCAGCTTCCATGATGAAGCGCTAGAATACTTGCAGTAAAGAAGCGCTAGCTGACTCGAAGGGGGTGACCAAACAGGCAATTCACTTAATTTACCGCATCAGTTTGGGGCACCCAATCATCATTCTGCTCTGGGCAATCGGCAGTGCAAATAAGAAATCGCCACGGGACAAGAGTAGGACACTTGGCGGCTGATTGCTTGCATCGCCAAGCAGAGCAGAGCCAAACATGCCAATATCGATTGGGCAGATGAGCCTTGGGATCAGGAGGTTTTTCTGATGCCATGGATGTTGTGAGTGACAACGCCAGGCGCCGTCTCACAGTCTGCCTCAACGAAAAATGCCAGGCGTATGAAGTTTCACAAGGCTCGTGGAGCTACAGTGTCCGTCACATACCTGGAGGAGTCGGGACACGCGTGGCAGCGACCCGGCTCGACAACGAATCTTTTGAAAACATCGGATATCGATTCTTCGGCCAGGCATTCTCCCCGGCAAGCCGGCAACGTTGACACTCACTTGCCGATGAAACTTTCAATGCACCGCGGGCGCTGATGTATGGGGTCAGTTCCACGTGGAGTTGACGTGGTTGGACCTCTGGGGATCACGGTACACCACGGCTTGATCACGCGCAGAGCCTCCACGTGATGGATCCATGATGTGAGATCCTCCAGTGAACTGAACCCCCTCAACGAAATTGGCGGATGCCTCTTGTCAAGTCCAGAGGATCCCGATTGTCACATATAAAATTCTCCCGAGAATCAAACGGGAGCTTAACCCAGGCCATGATGCGCATGTAAGAGTAAGCTCTGTAGGAAAGTCTTGTGAGTTGACTGCTTAGGTCAGGCACAGATGGATTGATGATAGGCCTTGATTGCGTCTTTCGAATGCTTTTTGCCATGCTCTAAATTCATGTTACATTCACTCCCTCAAACGTTTTAGTGCGTTTTGCACATTGCATCCATAATTTGTAAATGAAAAAGAAAACTGAAGGTTGCAATCATACACTGTCCCTGATGGCTGGCAGACAGAAATCATCACATGCATTCCCTCTTGGAAAAAAAAAGTGGGATTGTCAGTTTTAGAAGTAGTTCATTCTTTGCCAAGGAGTGAAATACTCAAAGAGCACTTCCACCTGGGTGCTATATGATGCTGCCCACCAATGAAGCTTGAAGTAAAAAAAAGCTCTCTCTCCCCAAAAAACCTGTTTCTTGTCAAAAATTGGTTATCATTTCCTCCTACGAATCCTTGATGTGCAGAAATAAGTGATGGGAAATGGGCAGATCATACGGAAGCCCACAGGGGTCAGAAATCACGCCAACCTGAATATGGGAAATGGGCAGATCGTTACGTGCCATCAACCTCATGAAAATCAGTGAACGAAAGTTAAACGACTACGGCATCAACAGCCAGGATGTCTAGCTTTCATGATGCCCTCCGTTGCCCACATGTCTATTTTGTGGCATGGCTGGTAGAGATTAATAAGGTAAGATTTTCGTGAGGTACATTTCATACTGATAATTGGAATATGTCACTTAAATACACAACATCAGATCATTATGATGACCATTTCTATGACTATTATTGATGTTTCTTTCCCTTGAATGAACGACAGTTGCATATGTAGCAAGTGAATTAAAAACACATCATCAATGGATGAATACATGAGAAGAGAGCGAAGGGGGGGCAGCACCGTATACTGAATTGTTACTCAATCGAGAAAGGCTTGAGTAGTGCGCAGTTTACAGCGTTTCAAGAATTTCGACAAGTCAGTCCCACCTGTGCCCTTCAGAATCTCCCTTTGACTTTCTCCATGATCTGCGAGTTTGACCGCCGTTGGCTCCGGCTGAGTATGATTGTCTGTGGAACGTTCTTCAAGTAGCTTATTTGGATTTTCTTGCTGCTTTGTATTCCCATTTCGATTGGTGAGATCTTTGAGCTTTTCATCCAGCGAATCAACGTGACTGACTGATTGGTTACACGGGGCAGTGGATGATGACGGATGGGTACGTTCAGTTGAATTCAAGGCTGATAACTGATCGGGAGGCGAAGAATTTTTCTGACAGATGATGAATAGAGAAACGATTTGAGTATGGGTCTTTCTTAGATTCTCTAGAGATTGAATGCAAAGATTATAATTTTCCTTCAAGTTATTTGGGCCGGATTTGAATTTCTGATCTTGGTGATTGATGACGATTGATCGGATCAAGTTAGGTTGACCACGCTGGGTCAAGCAGGAGCGAGATAACTGTTTGAGGAACAGCCGATGATGGTGAGGCATATAGGTTGACATCCTGTTCATAAAAGTTTCCTCATCCTGGATTCCGCTCGAGAGTTCTTGCAGATTCGGCTCGTGGTCGACTCCTAGGAAGACGTCGATTGCGTGAATCAGAGTACTCTGTCCAGCACTTGGCCCTCCATACTCAGTTTCTTTCCATTTGCTTTCCGCGAGAAATTCTCTTGCTTGTTCTGCAGTTTTCCCTTTGTTATTTTCCTCAATTTGAACGCCTTCCCAGATCCATCGTCCACCAATAAACCAAGGCCTGATCTCCCAGTAGAACGTTCGAGGATCACATCCGGCTCGGACGTCACTCAGAACCTTTGATATCCGATCAATTTGTTTCGCCAGTCTCCCCAAATTGTTTCCGATTCGTTTGACTGAGATCTCATCCTCCATGAATGCCTCATCCAATGATGAGCGCATCAACTTCAGACATTCTGGGCCGAGCGCCTCTACCAGTACTGAAGTCTTATAAAAGTGTCTTTCGGAGTCCGATCGTGTGAAGGTTGTTGGGATTTCAACATTCCTGCCATCAAAAAGCGCCACGAATCACGATTAGAAATTTAAAGCCATCTTTTGGAAACAAGAAGGCAGTAATATACAGATCTGAGACTCAACTCACTCAGCTGTGAATCCAAGTCGAGGTTCTTTGAATGACCAGTTATATAAAACCGTGTCGGCGTAAGTTAGAACGGGAGGCATATCCAAAGCTAGACTGATTGCAGAGAATGGGACGGCCAAAGAAAGAGGAATGAGGGTTTGTGTTTCAGCGAGAGAGGGTTGGTTGGATGACAAGGAATGGACAAAGGCGTGGGTCAAGAATGCCAGGACAAGGTGAGCCCGGCGCATCTCAACAATATCATTTCTTAGAGGATCAATATTCAAGACCGGGAGTTCGGAAGCGATGAATTTCTTCCATTCCTCAATTTCGATCAGTTTTGTATCTTGATCTTGATCTGCTGTTTGGGATATTGATTTGCTAATTGTCTCTAAAGCATCCTCCCAGGGTTGATAGACTGGATTGCTGATTCTTTTCAAAGGAGCTGAAGGTGATAGGAAGCCGGATCGGACATCGACATCAAAATCAGCCGAGGCGAGTGTGGTGGTATCGGTAGAATCGCTCGAGTCGAAAAATTGACGAGCCGATGAGGACGCTGTTGCAAGCTTGGAGTTCGCGTAAGAAGAGGAAGAAGAAGAACCAGACGAGTTCGATCCTAGGAAGACTTTCTGAGGGCTCAAGAAGTGATCAGAGTTCAAGCTTGCTGGAGTCAACATCTCGACTTTCTATGGATTAATTAGTTCGCCAGTGGAAAGACGAAAGACTGATGGATAATAGGAACCGCTTGAAAAATAAAAATAAGAATAAATAGATGGAGACTGGAGACGAGCTTGTTTCGGAAAGCCCGACTGAGGATAAGTGAATAAATTTGAATGGGCTTGAGACGGATGTTTCAAGTTTGACTGCTTCTCTGGTTAGGAATAGTATGTTGTGTGCTCGCCGGGTTCCCTCGGGCCGTTTATCATGATTAATTTTCAATCGAAACAAAATTAAAAAACACGGAACTGTGCCAGTGGTCCTGCGTAGCTCATAGGCTCGATACATGAGTCTCTCTAATAAAGATAGGAAAAATAAACTTCCCGGTGTTATGCTGCAACCCTGGTTGCTGCTAATGTGTTGCCTCAAGATATTGCCTGAACTTGAATATGTGACAAGACGGATGTCTTGAGGGGTGGCTGATCATGAGCTCCATCCACCAGGGAAAGAATGGAGTTTCTGTCTCATTCCCAGAACCTGATTCTATGAATCCAACCATGTCCCAGATCCTGTGCTGCAACATACCCAGGATTATAACTTCTAGCTTAACAGAAAACCCTCGACCAGAGGTGTGTCAAGACACCGTGAAGTCTTGGCACACCTCCGATCGAGGGGCTTGTGTTGATGTGAAGGGGTTACTTCCGCCTTTCCATCAAAAAAAAAAAAAAAAAAAAAACCAGCGTTTGGCACATACAAACACATTGGTGAAGCTTCCCGCAGTGGCTCAAGTCATGGCCCCGTTATGTCAACTTTGTAGCAATAGATTTGGTCAACTATCGTTGTTGCCTGATCTCATGCCAAAATGATCACAAAGAATATGTGGCGGTTGGTAGAATTGTCTGGACATCCAAATGGTGCAAAGCACGTGTTGCCCATGGCCGGGGAGCAGAATGAGCTTCACCTGAAACTTGAGCCTGAGGGGGGATTTTTGAGGTGTTTATCAGCAACAACCTACAACAAAAAGCAAGTTGAAGTTGCATGATTGATTTGTGGTCTCTGCAAAAGTGGATGGATTTTTGAGGATAATTGAAGGACAGACATATCAAGTGATCAAGCCCTTAACTAGGCTCAAGTAATTATGGCATGTTCAAGAGGGACACAGTTATAAAAAAGGACCACACACCCCCGTGCGCTTTTCTGCATATGAATGATCATCTATGGCAAGCTGCAAATACTTGTAGGATGTCATCCTGGAAAATCCAAATCATGCTTCCATCAAGGAGAATTTCCTCTAGCAAGTGGCTGCTCCTCAATGGAAGCGATCTTCCTTGATACATGGATATGGTACCACACTTTTCCACACCTTGTCACTCATGAACTACTGAGGCCAGCAGGCCAGCTGAAAAGGAGATGAAAAGACAAGACATCCATCAATATTTGACTCTTCCTTGTGCTTGTATTCAATCACCAAACACAAGAATTATCTTCTCCTTATCACATTCTTACATATTTGTGCCTGCAACCACACAAGAAAGTCATCAATGTTGCCAGCTGTCCTAATTTAACCCATCCTAAAATCATCATGACCACTCATGAGGTGTCAATCTGACATTTCACATTCCAGCTGCATAATAAAACTAACAGATCAACACTTCATCTTAATTCCAGAGGGGGGTGTTCAAATTTATGCCCTGAAAACCTGAAAGAGACCACATTTTCAACTTTCCTGGGTGTGACCTTGAACGGGCCAGTGTCTTTGATGGGTGTCATGCTAGGTTAACATTTGTGCACTCATCACGAGTCACATTAACAACAATGGGTCTTTACTGTACTCTACGATAACCAGCCGCTTTTGTTATAGTAAATGTATGCTTGATCACCCGTTACTAATACCGGTACTAGTAAAGGACCAAGCCCCAAGCAACTAGTATAGTATTGAGGCACCCATTTTTTGGTTGCTTCATACAGATATAGTTATAGGTTTCCATTTTACCCCTGGTTAACACAATAACCAACTCCACCAGGGGCAAAAGGCATAAAAAAGACCTAAGTTGATGACAGCAGGCCTTCGGTGAGCTATCCCCTGCTTATATGTGGGACATACCCCTGCTAGCATCCCCAGGACCCTTATCCCAGATACTAGAAGCAGCATGGCCTCACAAACTCCAAAATCCACTCAGAATGACCCCTCCGGCGGTAAAAATACTGAAGGCTATTCTACTGATCACTCTCAGACTCAACGACACCGCTCATCAAGAGCTTCATCTCTTGTCATTGCACCAAACATGGTGGCACCATCATTGGACTCGCGGGTGAGATTAACACGGCCAGCTCCTCACAAACGTCCTGCGGAGGCAGAATGTTCATCCAATTCCAAATCGGCTGTTGAGATTCAGTCTTGTTCTGAAGACGACAGGGAAAAAAAAATAGTTGTTTCCGTCTTTGTTATTGCTCATGGGTCCATTTGCTCAGTAACAGAAAAAAATCCCCATATCTCAGTTATCGTATCGAAAGCAAATAAAACAAAAACCACAAACTGGGATATCGTAAAGAAAAATCCGATACGGATTGCGGTAAAACCCGTAGGTTTATTGAGTCAAAAAAAATACTGTAACGGTACAATACCGATATCTGTAAAGTAAAGACCCATCGTTGACATTAATATATAGCAGGAATTCCATACTTTCATCATGCGCTCATAAGAAATCGATATGCCGCCATTCCTGGCCTCTGTTTCATCAAGCTGAAGATACCACAATGAGTGTGTTGGCCGCTGTTGCAAGATCTCTGGGCGACAAGCTACACCGTCAGAGCCCCTGAACGAGACAAGTGCGAAAGATAGAAAAGGATAGACCTTCGGGGAGTTGTACAGCTATTTCGGAAAGGGTTGTCCAGTTGTCTCTCGAATTTTTTTTTTTTTTTTTTTGAAAATTTTTAAATTTTTCTTTGTACTGAACTACAGCTATAACGAGAAAGCTTGCGGGCTCCGAAGTCAGAAAATAAAAAAAAATAAAAAAATCTACCGACTACAGCTGGAAGTTTTGGAAGAATACTGGTGCATGTACGGATGCATTATGTTGGGTGAAATTCGCTATCTTTTTGTTCTCTCATTTTCAGGTGATGAGAGTAACACCATCGGAATCCTGATGCAAAGTTCACCCCAGCGGCCATCCCTCACCCGGGAACAGCTGCTGCTGAGCTTCCCCCATGGGGGCCGGTCAGGTCCCACCGGTGCTGCTGGCAGGTATATGGCAACCTGTATTCCTGTCTGTATTCTTCCTAACATTCCGATTGCAGTTTTTTTTTTTTTTTTTTTGGATATTCCGACTCGACAGCCCGCAAGCTTTTTCGGTTTAGCTGTACAGCCGAGGAGGTACAGCTGTCATTGCTAGTTCAGTTCTGACAGGTCCAGTTCAGTAAAAAAATAAAAAATAAAAAAAATAAAAAAATAAAAAAGATTTCGCGAGTCCAAGTGGACAACCCTTTCCGAAATAGCTGTATGTATCAAGAATTAACATCCTCGTGAGATGATTGCGACGATCGGGCAGATTGTAGCCTGTCCATCCATGAGTTTGGCTAAATTGGAAATTTGTAGGTTTGGGGTGCCCTCATGATGAGGAACCCCCAGTGATCCACGGACACAAGACCCAGGCCATGAGTTGTGGCGCCGGACCAGCTTCCTGCGTGCAATCAACACCGGTGGCAATTAGCTACGATCGGCTGGGAGAATGGAGAGATGTCTCTCGGGTACATAAATAACATGACTGCTTCATTTGCCAAAGAGATGAAACTTGGCTCGGAACTCTTGGATTGATTGTTATGTGTATCTACTGATAACATCATCTGATTCTGCTTTTGTATCGATACAGAATCATGCATCCCGATGGGAGTAGCCGTGAGTAGAAAAAAAAACAGGGCCACTGATACAGCATACCCAAGAACGCTTGCAACTTTTGCGCGCAAAAAAAATTTTTTGTCCACCTAAAAAATTTTTTTTGGTGGCTTTCTTCCCTGCAGCTGTCATCACGTACAGCTGCATTTGAACTATGTACAGCACATAGTTCAAACTTCGTATCACCCACAATCAGGCTCCGCATGTCGCACTCACCACTGCCTTTTTTCACTCTTCATTCCCTCACAACCAACCAGGCCGATCAATTGCAACCGGTAAGTTTTTCTCTTATTAGCATGTTTCTTAGATGTCTGCTAATTTCAGCAATTTTCCCTAAGGTTTAGCGATGCCGTTTGTAGACTATAAAGCGGCATACAAGTTCTTGGTGGTTAAATCCGCGCTAGACGGCTGGAGCCTAGATGATATCAATCTCCGGCACGACACCACTGTCAGCACGTACTCCCTTCGCCGTTGGACCCAGTTGTACAAAAACACAAGCTGTGTGGTATGTGATCCTGCAACCTATGCTTCGATTGGGCGCCCGATGGCTTTATCGGATGAGGAAAGGCGATTTCTATTAGAGCTGGTCACCTTGGACCCAACGATTTATCTGGCTGAGATTCAGCAATCGCTACTCGAGAACCGGAACATCAACATCTCCTTGCAAACTATCTCAAATGAATTACACAAGCGTCTCCGAATGTCTCAAAAGACTATGCAAACGGTCCACCCAAAGCAGAATATCCACAAGCGAGGTGCTTACGTTGGTTTGATTGCATATTATAGCCCAGAATGTTTAGTATTTACAGGTATGTGATGCCTCCCTTGGCTCCAATTGGTCTGCTTCAGTCAGTGCTGATTATCTCTAATAGATGAGTGCGGCATATGTAGTGACGGGGTCCGACGCACTAGGGGATGGGCTCCTGTAGGAGAGCGGACTTCTCGAGCGCCTGTATCAAGGGCCAGACACCGTTTCAATGTGGTCCCGGCAGTGGCTTTGGATGGTCTAGTTACTTCGTTGATTCAGGAGGAGACGATGTGTCGTCTTGGCTATGAGTTCTACTTGGAGCACATTCTAGTGAGTAGATATTGGAATACTTGTGAAATCAGCGGCTTTGGCCTCATATCCCTAAGTGCTAAGTCACTGCTATTGATTTCAATCTAGTTGCCCATGATGAATCCATTCCCGGCGCCTCGGAGCGTCTTGGTCTTGGATAATGCCTCGTTTCATCACAACGGCCGGATTGCAGACCTGGTAGAAGCACGTGGATGCCGGATCGTTTACCTCCCTCCTTACTCCCCGGACATGAATCCGATTGAGAAGGGTTTCAGTATCCTCAAGGCTTCACTGCGTCGGTATGGGCACCTAGACGGAGGGGTTGGAGACAGTAGTGTAATTGAAACTCATGTTCAGTATGTGTTCAACGCCACATTGATGCAAAAGCTATTCAGAGGTTGTGGCTACATCGATTGATCAAGTTACACATTCCTGAGATCTCCTTCTGTGCTACATTGTATTGTTTTGGTCTCTTCCTTGGTAGTGTCAGCTGTGCTTGTTGTCTCAGTCGCTTTTACCTTCCTAAGCCATCAGGATCTGTGATTTATTTGATATGATCCCCTGTCATGGTTTTTCACTCATATCTTTTGTTACAGATCTCTTAGCCCTATGATTTGATGTTGACAATATGAAGCGAGATCAATCTCAAAAACGGATTGATCAGAATAGGAATTGAGTTTACTTGTGTTTTGTGTGTTTGAGCCTTAACAGTCAGGATTCGTCATGACATGATCCAATCGGTGATGAGATGACAAACATGTAATGCATTGCATGGCTGCTGAGCAGCCAGCCAACAGCGGACCGATCACTTAGGCTTAACAGTCAGGATTGGTTGAGCAGCGGACAGCGAACCGATTGCTTGGGCTTAACAGTCAGGATCGGTCTGATATGACAAACATGGAATGCATGGCCCCATTGTAAGGTGACTACTTACAAGACTTCAATAAAGAAGATAAATTTCCAGACGGCATTTTTTTGGTTGTGACTATTTACAAGGATGTGAGCATCCGAGGTCGCTATCAATCAAGGAGTAAGGTAGCATTCAAGAAATGATGAAGAAAATAAGATATCATATGGGGTTTTTTGGGCTGTGACTATTTATATGGATGTGATCATATGAGGCTGGTATCAAGCGAGGAGGAAGGTAACAAGGCCGGTATCAAGCGAGGGGGAAGGTAGCAATCCAGAAATGATGAAAGGCTGCTATCGCTATCTATCAAGCAAGGATGAAGTTGGTCGATGCGCTTGAGGTGATACTGCTAACAAGCGATGATAGTCGATAAGGCGATCGATCGAGGATAAGTGAGACCAGTCTATGTACAACTCTTGAGAAGCAGGATCGAGCAAAGTTCAGTGAGGTACGGTAAGTGAAAGAAGAACAGTAGCCATTTGATTTGATGATTATTGGTCGCTATTTGATTTGATGATTATATGTGTCAGTCGGTGATTGATCAGGCCTGCCTGGCTCGCGCTCGGCTCTTCAAGCGATCAGAGTACCGTTTAGCTGCCACAACAATAGTCCTCGCGGGTCCCATTGGGACCCCTGCCGTCATGAGCTCACTGGCTTGGACATGCCTGAACATGCTCCAGTGAGTAATGCCCAATTCTGCCAACCCGTCGCGAACGGCCGAGCTGTTGGGGTCGACCCGAGCATAAGACAGAAACGAGGAAATGTTATCTTCGCCTTCAGTGTCTGATGGCGCCGGGGAAGAGTCCGGCTGAGCATTAGCGGGGCCGTGGACCTGGTTCCGGTCTTGGCTGGGACTCCCAGGAGGAGGAAGCCCTTGGGTGGCAGGTGCAGCCGCTTGATATGGATACTGCAGATGATAGCCCATTGGGGGTGGATACCCGTGAGGGTAAGGGGGATATGGGTAGGGGGGAGCTGGCTGCTGGGGGATAGTGGACGGAGGAGTTGGGTCGGACTCGAGAGGGCCAGTGATGTAGTCGAACATCGGCGTCTTGGGCGGGGTCCGTAAGTCAACGGTTTCCGGGGACAAGTGCTGATCGATCATTATGGTCAATGTCCATAGCTAGTATTTAAGGCAGGTGACTGTGGGCAAAATGCACTTACCATTGCTTTGCCCCAAGCCTCAGCCACGCGCATCGAGATTACAAAGTACTCATGAGTTTTCTCTGGGTTGACGAAGACCGACTTGTCCGAGCTACCACTCAGTCGCGGTTTGGGAGAGTATGTTGCAAGGATCTGGCCGATGTATTCATTGATTTTCGCCCGATCAATTGCGGCAGTTGACGGTTGAAAGACCGGTTCGGCCGATGGACCAGGATTGTCCAGCTGGGTTAAACCAGCCAAAGCGGCCGCGTTCTGGAATACATGTCAGTGAGTGATCCATCCAAGACGGAGACTTATGAGAATCAGGCACTCACTTCAGCCAAGTCTTTTGGATCCTTCTGATGCAACTTACAGGTCATTTTCCGGCCTTTGTTGCCAACCTCTTGACATGCAGCAAGCCATGCGCTGAAAACACCTGGCCTCGCCAGCTGCTGGTTCTGCGAGGCGGCAAACGGCCCACCATGATGAATACTGCCATACCAGGTGATATTCCCAACTCCCTCGCTCCGCTCCAAAAAACCCGCCAGGCTTCTGCCCGCTTCGGTGACGATGGCGGTGATGACAGCCGATTTGAAAGATAACAGATCGGTGTTTGAGACATCCCAGCAAATGGTGACCTTACCGGCCTCGGATTTATACACTCGTGTTTTCGGGACGTCGGTTTTCTTCTTGCGAGCCGTGGTTGCCTCCTCGCGGACGGGCAAGTGAAAATGGAAATCGATCATAATGGTCCGATTAACCGGCAATGTTGCCAATGCTTCTTCATTTTCGGGGACCGGAGAGCCTTGAGGTGATTGTCGGGAAGAGTCCAAAGGAGCCCTGCTGTGGTCCTCAAGAAGATCAATCTCATCATCCAGGTCTAATAAAACAGTAGACAACCCAGTCGGTGAAGTACTGTGATTGATCCCCCTAGTCGGTCTGTTCAGTCTGGGTCCACGGGGAGTTAGCTCCGCATTTGCCATCTGGGCACCACGTTTTGGTGTGGCTTGCGAGGTTGTTCCCACAGATGGGTAAGGATGGAACCGATTATTAGAAGGCTCGACCAGAATTCCCTGATGAGACGACTCGCTCGGATGGCCCAAATGGTGTGATTGAACCGTTCTCGTGCCAAATGAGGGAGAGACAGTTGCGCCGGATGGATTGGTATTGACTGAGGTTGAGCTGGAAGTTAGAAACGATCGATTTGGATTGGCATAGATATTCCGGAATTGATGGGCCGCAAGAAGCTGAGCTTCCTCTGCTACTGGATCATCGATGGGACCGTAGCTTTGGTGGACTGAGGATCTCATTGTCGTATAGGCCAAAGTTCGATTAGGCCCAGCAGGAAACCGCCGACATCGTTGCCCGTTTGAGTCCAAGAACTCAAAGCTGTCATCTACTGGGGTCATCGAGTTTGAGTTCGTCAGAGGGGTCAAAGGCAAGTTGTCCAAAGCACTGTCAACCCAATCGGTTCCAGAGTAGTGAGACGGTGGACCAGTCGAGTTGTGTAAAATTTCGTCCAAGCGCATTTGGAGTTGTGAACCTTTCAAGATGCTGCTGATTTTAAAAAGTTCTTTCGAAGCTTGGTTGCAATCCAGCCAACCTGGGGAGCCTGATGTATGTATGTACATAAATTTGTGTTATGCATGTCTGTACATACTTAAGCACCTTTAGTTCAAATGCAGCTGTACGTGATGACAGCTGCAGGGAAGAAAGCCACCAAAAAAAATTTTTTAGGTGGACAAAAAATTTTTTTTGCGTGCAAAAGTTGCAAGCGTTCTTGGGTATGCTGTATCTCGGATCTCCCGACCCCACTCAATTGTTCTTATCTGTTCTATCTGCCGGCTGCTTGGTTCTCACCAGTAAAATTAACAACCCTTCTTTTCATTAACCAAACATCCGTCCACATCTGTGCGGTGATCAGTGGTGAAACCGATATAAGCGTTCTTGATAAGAAAGAATATTCAAGATAATATCTTGCGCGGCAGAGTCCTCCATCCAAGGACGATACATTCAAACACACATATTTAAATTCGTTTGACACCTGCAAGCCCGTCTTCTTGACTTCACAATCGCAGACGCGTTCATCTCACATCTCTAATATCGTTGGGGGTTTGACATTCTCCTAGAGGTCCTACCAGCAATCATCATCATACCATGAAGCTCTGCGGTATCAATTTCTGTTTCCCCGGCTTCAATGGCGCCAGGAATGGAGCCATCCAACTTCCGGATGACGATGAGTCTGACGAGAATCTCAGCCAAGGCATCACTCCGGTCGGCAATAGCTCCCCAGAATTCTTATCCTTCCTGGCGAAAAACCCGGAATACAACTCTCCCTTCCTCGACGAACTACGACAGAGCGACTTCAAGCGTCTTGACGATCCGAGCCATCCGTCCTGCTACCTGGACTACACCGGCGCAGGGCTCTATCCTGAGTCCCTGGCGGCGTCCTTTGCTGATCTGCTCACCAAGAATGTCTACGGGAACCCCCACTCGACAAACCCGTCGAGCCAGTTGAGCAGTCGGGCCAACGAGGCCGCGAAGCACGCTGTCCTGGCCTTCCTGGACGCCAATCCGAATGTTTATGACTTGGTCTGGACCTCTAACGCAACCGGGGCGCTTAAGATACTTGCAGAAGGATACCCTTATCAAGCCGGCCAAAGCCTTGTCATCAGCACTGATAGCCACAGTTTGTATTTGATTTCATATACCTTCCGCATGATCGAAATTTTCCCTTAAGACTCTCTGAATTTACATCTCTCTCCGTACATCATAGACAGTGTCAATGGGATGCGTGCTTTTGCCGACCGAGCGGGTGCTAAAGTGGAATACCTCGATCTCCCGGATGACATGCGCGGCCTTAGGATATCAAGCCATGAATTGACTGTACGTTTCATGAGTAGTAAACAAGAGGGCCAACTTTATCAGAAAAAAAAAATACTGATGTATGATTCAAACACAGGAACGACTGTTAAATCTCAAAGGTTCATCCGCTTCACCAGGCCTGTTCGTTACAACCGCACAAAGTAACATTACTGGGCTGAAAGCCCCGATTCATGAGCTCGTTCCATTGGCGTCCTCACTCGGATTCACCACCCTTCTTGATGCAGCTGCTCTGCTGCCAACGACCAAACTATCCCTTGAGAAGCTTCACGGCTCACTCGACGCGGTGGCCTTTAGTATCTACAAGATGATCGGGCTCCCCACCGGTCTGGGCGCCCTCGTGATCAAGAAGGAACTGCTCGAGAAGCTTCGTAAACCGTGGTTCTGCGGTGGAACGGTGCAATTGGTACAGGCCCCGGGGGCGGCAGTGACGATGGAACAAGGGCCAGCGCGTTTCGAGGATGGGACCACAGATTTCCTGTCAACCCTGATCATCCCACCGGCCTTCGCTACGTTAGAGAAAGCCCTAAGTAACTCGTTGGGAGCGCGGGTTGCTGCTTTGACGTTTTGGACGGTCGATCAGATGTCCAAGATCAAGCATGAGGTTGGAAATTCGCCGTTCATACTCGTCCGAAGTCCGAATATCCTGTTACCAAAGGCCGAGATGGCTAAGCTTCACGGCGGCCTCATTGCTTTCGAAGTCATGGACAAAACTGGCGAGTATGTCAGCTGTGAAGTGATCGAATATGCAGCTTCACTCCAAGGAATCAGTCTCCGGGCAGGTTGTATGTGGTAAGTGTTCTCTCTCTCTCTCTCTTTCTTTTTTTTTCTGCAGTTGTAACACAAACCGACGTTTCACCTGCTGACACCACTACAACCTTTCTAGCAACCCCGGAGGTGCCGCTAGCATCATGAAAATGAAGGAAATGATGAGCGAGTTACGAAGTGGCGAAACCAAGAAAGATATCCAAGCCAAATGGGGTGTCCGAGCAGCTGGAGTGACAAGAGCTTCGTAAGTGGAGACCCGGATTTTTCTCACTTCTTTCAGTCTTAACAATCAACAATATAGTAGACTAGATTCGAAACTCACTTGTTTTGTTCAACCCTGGAACCAAAATTTAAAAATAAAAATAAAATTGAAGGTTTGGGTTGGCGTCCAACTTTTCAGACGCCCATTACTTTATCAAGTTCATGGAATCCTTAAGTCGGGCAGGCGAATTGGAAAAGATGATGAGTGCATTTTACAATAAACCCCGAGACACATCTGCTTGTTAACCGCATCACAACTTGTGTGAGAGAGAAAATCGCAGATACGGTTGGTGTTTTAAAAACTTTCCTTTTTTTTGTATGATGTACCACTCTTTTATGAACATATACCATAGTTTCAATGAATTCAGTTGATGTATAACTATCAATTTTTTCCACATTCTTGTGATTTACGAACTGAGCATGCTCTCTCAAACTTCTTTCATCTCAACTTGGCTATTTATGAAAATTTGGATGAGTTTTTACAAAGATGAAGATATGCTATTCTGCCCGACATTATTGTCATGCATAATCCGCATTGTAATGTGTGATTTGAAATCTGAAATGAGTCGGCTCAAGTAGAACAGAAAGCCAAGAATATACATTTTGAGTGCTGGTAACAACATTAGCAATGGCAGCTGCATGTTTTGCAAACATGGAACCAAAAGGCTTGGTATGTATACTATTGCTTTAGAAGTGTTGGGTTTCAAATGATTCCTCAGATAAGCCACCATCTGCATGTTACTCATTCTAATTCTCCACATTCTTGTTTTCTTTTTTCCGCAGTGAAGTGGGCAATCAATGATTGATATATTAGACATCAATTTCAAACACTGATATAATTTTACAGGTGTGTAAGAGATCATTGAAAAGGATGTTCTAGGATGCATGAAAAACCACTTGTACCGGGACAAAAGGTGTGAGAATGAATAGCGGAAAAGATAACTGAAAGTGAACAGAAAGTGATGTGAAATGATGATGTTAAAACTGATGCGATGTTGTAGAACCTGAATCAGAAATCGAATACAAACAGAGCTGAGATGATAAAAAAACAATCAATTTTAGACACGGCCAAGACAAGATTAATTCCACAAATGGGGTTGGGGAAACATTCGAAAGCAGCTCTCTTGTTCTCTCACACACAAGTAAGTTGATCTTCAGATGCTGGATTAGATCGATGAGTTGACAGCAGGACATAAAGAGTTAGAATATTTTGGTCTTTTTGCGGATATTTGCGACCTTCTCCCTGGTGGAGGTGGTCTCGACAGCTTTCGAGGGGGAGTCTTGAGAACCTTGGCCTAGCTTTTGGACTTCAGGCTTCTTCTTGATTGTCAGACAATCTACAAAAGATAGAGAGTGCCTCGGATAATCAGTTTGTGTTTTCATCAAGGTTAGAACAACATGTAATGAGGAGAAACGAAAGACTGAACTTATATCACAGTAGTCACAAACATCTAGAACTACATCTGTCACAAAATACGCATAGACAAGGCCGGATACTAGGATACTAAGCCAGATAAACTTGACCACCCCAGCTTCCGAGTTTTGAAAGAACGGTTGCTTGACCAAGCCGAAGGTCAGAGTATTGAGGTAAGAATCGGCCAAGCCTAGAAATGACCAACAGAGCAATACGTTCCAATAGGGGAATACTTCTGGGGCCTTGAGGATATGTGAAACGATCAGAAGCCCAACCAGATAGGCAAAACTCAAACCGTAGTATACCATAAAAGGTAACAGATGGCGGCTCATTAGAGTTGGTTGCGAATGAAGCCATAGGAGATTGATCGCCGTTTGTAGGACAAAAGGTAATAGTCCCAGCAGAGTTTTGGCGCTAGAACCTTTTTTGCCACGGTTGCTTTTTACGACATTCATGTAACTGCAATAAGACTCACCAATGAGTAAGAGCCATCTAGGTTGAAAAAGTTAATGACCAACACACACCTTCCTAATATATTGGATCCCAGACTAAAGATGGCGAAGGCCAATGAGCATTTGTTCAGAGGAAAATCCAGCCCAGAGTTCTTCAATAAAGGAAATGAATTGAGCCCCAAAAGAGTTAAAACTCCCTGATCCCAGAAAGGCGGACCTGAGAAGTGGATGAGATTTGGTGATGAGTTGATCGGTTTCGAGGAGTTGGATTGATACAGTTCTGCTCGAGATCTTACCATAGATGGATGTAATAAAAAAGACACCGATCACCAATAAAATCCCTTCGACAGGACCACTAAAACTACTCAGAAACAAGGTCTGAAACACAACTGGATCAAATTGAGTGATTTTTTACAATGTACAATGCATACAAATTGATCAGTGCTTACGCCGGTATGGTATTCTTCCCAGGTCGTGAGGTAAAAGTTGGCCAGTGATGCGACTTGAGAAGCAACTGTATCACAAATAGAGTCAGAGGGAAGTTGCCCTTGATGTACTAAGTACGTAAGTTGAACTCACCCGTCCACCAGGAATGTCCTAGATTCAACGATGCCGAGGCAAGAATGGCGCCTAGCTATCTCATGCAAAGCGCTTAGTTCAGATGCGAGACCGTTCTTCGTCTTAAACAAAAGGTCACACTGGCTTACAGTGGTATTTAGGGCATCGCAACCTGTGAAAAGGCCCAATGGAACAGTCAGCAGCACATCAGAAGATGGCTTGGGAGGGGAATAGCTGGTGTCAGCGAACTCACCGTGATCGAATAATTCTCCGAGAGGTCCAGAGGTTCCAGTTCGTCTGGCTTGTTTGCCATCAATGGCATCTAAGCTTTGGTAAATCCATAATCCCAACGCAAAACTTGGTTGTGGTAAATTGATCAAGATTCAATATCTGAAACCCAAAATAAGAGAATTCGAAAAAGGGAGGTTTTGATTCGAATACTTTACCTCAAATATAGCCAACCGCTGGGACACTTGGCTTGGAAATTCGAGAGGCCCACGAACGACTTGAATTTGTCCAGGAGGCTTCCTTGGGAAGTTTCAAGCAACGATCCAGCTTTTGACACGAACGAAGGCTTATCAGAACATGCCATAGTGGGTTGAAATGCCAGCAGACTTGCGAAATTCAGCATCACGAACACCAGACCCTGCAAGAAAGCCACACACACCATATCAGTCAGATAGATTGATTGAGCTAAGCAGGAGAGGAGGAAAATTCATCGCACAGTTAATGTGATCAAGTTCGGGGCCACGCTCATGGGGACAAAAGTGACCAATCGATTCCAGTAGGGTGTCAAGACATAACGAGAGATGATCGAATGGTCCTCGCCGCTATACTTATACTTGGATAGGTTCGCCCGACGGTTCCTTGGGATGAAGTGTGGTCGCTCCAACATCACTCAACTCGCTCTGAATTTCACAGCTCTTCTCAAAGAAATCGTGCTTGTGGATGTGTAAACTTGGGGTATGTATGTATCTGCAGGATCGCGGAGGGGGCGAGTCAAACCTTCTCCAGCAAGAGCAGAGGGAGGACTAGAGGGCATTTCGAGAAACCGGCTATGACCACATCTTTTTCTACCTATCACACCCCCTGTCTCAGCTTTTGCACACTGTATCATACAGACAAAAAAATCTGTTTGTCACGCAAGTGCTTTCTTTGGTAAGAAAATCATATTTTGTTTACAACTATTAACCTTGCACAGGTTTCAAAAAAAGAAAGAAAAACAGGAAACTCTCTTGACTGAGGTTTTGGCCCAACCCTGCCTTTTTTCAACATCCTGTTCAAATTTGAATATCAGAACGATGATGTGGCAGCTCATGTTCCAGTGAATGCTCTTATGTTTCTTGCTTGCCTGGCAAATGCTCTGATGTTTCTTGCTTGCTGATAATATTGTGGATCCCAAAGGAAGCTGTTGTACAAACTTCATGAACACTTTATGATAAATGCGCAAAACAGGACAAAAAATCCTTTAAGTTTCAATGGTCAACAACTGGAACCAACATGGTAGCAGTGCATGACTTATACTAGCTGTTCATGTGCACTTGTTTGAATTGATTGAAGTGGGATGAAATCCCATCAGATCTGTAGCACTTGGGGGTACTCATTTAGAAATTAGGTCCAAAAAGTGTAGGGTTACTGGGAAACCTGGTCCCCAGTACTTATCCCACCCTATTCTATAACATTCCTACATCTGGACAGGAATTAATCCAGAAATCTAGGAACAAAAATATATCCCAGAAATCTTCCAACCAACATTAAACCCTGTAACATTACTTGCCAAAACAATTTCACATATAAGAAAAAACCATTGGCAACTCATGATGGTCAATCAAACTGGTTTCAACTGATCCTGGCATGTTTCTAGGCACACTTCTAAAGAAATCAAGCGTAAAATCATGTATATGCTGAAAACAGAGGGGTTAGTCCAGTTCCCATTTTTATTGCACTACAAGAAAGCCATATCAAAATGTGAGATTGTTTCAGCTTCCACTTTTTTTTCAAGATGGCTTTTGTTGCTCAGTTACTTTGAAATGTGCACCACATTAAGGGGATCAAATTTTCCACTTTTCCACCCTCAATTATCTGCAACCCAACAAAAGATCCTATCATCTCTGAGTTACACAAGAGACCACCACTTGAGAACATCCACTGTTTATTTTGTAATTTTTATGTATGTGTGTTGAATTTTTGAGCTCTTGACCGGTTGGAGTTGGGATTTTTGAGAAGAGGGCACAAAAAAGGTTAAGGACCTTTTTTGAGAATGGTTCTCGGAAAAAGAATGAAAGAACCAATGATTTTCATTCTCTGCAGTTAGTCATGTTTAAATAGGCTAAGTACAAGAGGTCAAATTGTGGTTTGTAATAATGAATAGAAAAAATTATTTTGAATAAAAAATTGAGAGAAAATAAAATAAGTTCTTGGAAAATAACAAACTAGATAATACTTCTCATTCTCTTGTAGTAAGGCCAGATGAGTTAGTCAAGAGAAAATATTTTAAGTCACAAATAAAAAAAGGTGTTAATTCTTGTTAATCAATTTTTTAATGACACACAACAAGTCAGGAAAGAGAGAAGATAATACCGTAGAGACAAGAATATTGAGTTGAGCTTATGTGGTTCAAATTTGACTCAGTAGGAACTCAGAAAACAACAAAGACCTGCTACTTGGTAAGAATTAATCTAGTCTGATTGAGGGTGAAGAGAAAGAAAAAAAAAGGCAGAGAGAGAAAGATAGGAAGAATTTCAACAATGTGGCATGATTGGCACACCTCTTTGGGAACCTGAAGGTGGGACTGGGATCAAAAATTGAGAGAACCAATGATTTTTATTTACGAGTACACATGTTAAATAGACTATGTACATACAATAAAGTCAATCTGTGGTTTGAGAAACATTGAGCATGAAAAATTCATAACAGAGATTGGAATATGTATTAAGAGATGACAGGAGTAAATGACTGTTGATAAAGACTAGACCAGGGTTAAGGATTTCAGCACTAGACAAAAAGACAAAATATCACTCAGACACTAAGAAAAACACGGTACAATCATGTGTAATATTTTATCTAAACATTATCAATTGAAAAGGTGAGGCAGATGTATTTTTAGGAATGAGAAGACAATGCATTCAGATTGATAGTACATACATATTGATTAGTCATTTTTACCTCTTAATAGGACAGTTCATGCACTGTTCATGTTAAGATCAGAAGCCAGAAATTGGCAGATGATTTCTTGGGAAAGTATTTGAGGTTGGTGGGAAGCTCCCCTTTAAGGAGAAAAATCTGACCCTCAAATGTATTCACTCACTTACTTGAAATTGTCATGCATCACCAAACAAAGCCCTGTTGCAGATTATCTTGGTAATAGGTTTGGTAGATCATGAGTCCATGGTCCACACCCCTCCCTCCTGAATAGTTCAACTTCTACTTTGAAATCCAAAAGCTCACTTATCTGACAGACAGAAGTTGATGAAATCACTTCAACACAGAATCTATATGACTTGAATGATGGGTGATAATTCACCAGGAAAAAGGAATGATCACTAGATGACAGGTGACCTCAGGTCAAGTCAAGCCTTCTATCCATCATCACCCCCCTTGTGAGAGTTTCCATTCCCCTGAAGGGGAAAAAGGGGCCATTGGAGTCCACTGGTAGGAGTAGTACAACAGGAGTTGGGACAGAACTAGGACCACTGTTGTGCAATGTCACTTGCCAACAAGTGACTAATGTTTTTTACTGGTGTAACTGTATTGTAAGGATTCATATTTCCTTTTGAGGGGAGGGGGGGGGGTGACATTGGCTGTGTTCGAATGGATTTTTTTTTATCAAATCAATGTTATGATTGTTGAATGAGAAGTTTGAGTGAGTCTACACACATTTATAATGTTCCTCTTTAAAAATTAAAAAAACTTAAGCTCAGGAATGATAGCAATATGAGATCTGAAATGAATGATGATAAGTTCAAATCACTTCTGAATGGTTTAATTAAGATGTGTTGAGTGGGTCATTCATGATCAGTGCACAAGGTATTTTATAAGCACTGTAAACTGGAAATGTTGACTGCAACTTGTGTGCACCACAAGAGAACGAACAGTATTTAAATGGTTCGTATGGCAGGACAAGAAGGTTGAAGACCAGCTGAAGTTCGAGCCGGAGATTGCTCGCGACCCAACAGTTGTATGCAATCCCGGTATCGATAGAGGACGGCCAAGGTCAGCTGAGCTGATCAGAGTCAGATAGTCTGAGGAAGGGGGAAGAAAGGGATTGAGTAGGCTCAGGCGTCGCAAGCTGGCAAGCTGCTGCTGGGAGATGCCGAGGTGATGAAGAGTGCTTGAGTGGGGGCAGAGTCATGGGAATAGTGACGGTCTTGGTTACCGAAGTCTTGCTGGCTTGGCTCGTTCGTTCCGGATAAAGTCTCCCACCAGACTCACCCTCAACCCTTGCACTCCCCCCTCCTTCCCCTCAAACTTCAAGCCACACTCAACCACCACACTCAACCACCCCGAGAATACAGCAGTACATACAGGCACTCTCAACAGATCACATACAGCGAACACAGACGAAAGATGAAGATGATGAAGCTGCCGACCCTGTCCAGATACACCTACATCTTCGCCGCCCTCAACGTCATCCTCCTCCTCACCGGCGTCCTCACCCTGCTCACCGTGCTCAACTGGAGAAACATCCTCGACCAGCCTATCAGCTCGAATCCGGACATCTACACTCGTCTGGCTGTCAACGACCTGGTGATCTATGGTCAGTTTTCTCTCTCTCTCTATCATTTTAAGAGAAAAAGAACTCACTCGCTCTTTTTTTTGACTCAGGTGGTTTTGTTGGAGCAGCGTCGACCTTCCTGACCGTTGCGATTTCGCTGTGGACGTTTGCGACCCGACCGACGCGGGAGAATGCGCAAACGCTGCCGCTGCGAGCCTACATGAGCAGTCTCTTCACGACCCTTCTGATCACGCTCATCGCGGCCTCCCTGATCTGGTTCTCGACCCTGAGGGAACGCTCGCTGTTCACCCCCGTCTGGGAGGCCCTCCCCGCGCAACAGAAGATCTTCATCCAGAACGACCTCAAGTGTTGCGGCTGGTTCAACGCCACCCTCCCCGGCCTCTTCAACGATAACGTCATGTCCGGCTTCTGCGAAGACCCCGATATCATCAGACCCGACCCCGACCCTAACGTCGTCCTCGGTTGCGTCGATAAGTTCGGCAAAAAGGCCGACGATATCTTGAATAATACTTTCACCCTCGTCAGTCCCTCTCATCTCATCTCTTCTTATTCAGTACTCATCTCTCCCGGTTTTTGTTTTCCTTTTTTTTAAATATAGAGTTATGGATTCACTGGTGTCCAATTCTTTCTATTCGTAACGGCTGCTGCGCTTGCCAACTTACGAATCCAACAAAAACGGTAAGCTTCCAAGCCCCTACCACCACACATATCCGATTTTTCTCCAGATATCTAACTTTTTGACACTTGTGTGATGTGTATAGGTTTATGAGGATTGATTACAAGCTACGGAACGGAAAAGGAGCCTTCCTATGATCCCACCTTCTCCTCTATCTTCAAATAGATACATCTCTCTCAAGACTCTTGTGCATCCTGTGGAGCCAAGATGTCGATATATTCCTAGACAGTCGTCAGTTTTTCTCAGCTCCATCGTTACAGCCCATTTCCCTTTCCATAGCTTTCCCAAACGATCCTATTCAGGACAAGCAACCCCCACCCATAATTTTCTTTATTCCCTTTTCTTTGAAGTTCTTTCTATCTCAGCTTCGCTTCGTTTGCCTTGTTTGTTATGGACCCCTTACTCATACCTTATTTATGCTCCGTTCAAAAATGTGCTATTTTTATTTATCTCGTTTTTTTCTTTTTTCTTCCTACTTTCCTCCACTTTTCGTTTTTTTTTTACTTACTATACTGTCTCACAAAACAGGATTCCCTAATCTCTTGAAAATAATATACATGGCAAATCTTCTTTCTCCCTTTTTTCGGTCTTTCATTCTTTTTTTTTACTGTTTTGTTTGTTTGTTTGTTTGTCTGTTTGTTGTAACTGCATATTAAACATCATCATTCGATTTAGAATTGTATTAAATGAACTTCAAACAAGAGGACATTTCATCATCCTCAAAAGCAAACAATATACCCGCAAGTATGTCCGGATAAGGAAACCTTGAGTCCATGTGGAAACAAAAAGAAGGAGAGAGGGAAGGGTCGTATATAATCAAGATTGGATCTCAGCTTCCCGATAGCGTGGCAATGCAAGAAGATATGGCAGAGGGGAAGAGGAGCTTGAGACACAGCCTTGACGTCATGCGTGAGGGATGTTCCAATGCTATCAAGTGATGATTATTTTGATTTTTTCTTGGAATAGGCAAAGGATGGGATGGGATGGGATGGTTGATGAAGATGATTGCAATAAACAGAAATACCAAATGATTGCTGGGAGTGGGGGGACTGACAGTCGAGCGGACTCCAAACTCAACCACCCTCAAACCAAAATCCAAGCACCAACCAACCAGAACGAGCACACACATCAATACCACGATGGGATTAATAGCACAGCTAGCAAAACAAGTCAGTCTTCTCTCAACCCACTACCACCACCACCACCACCATAATCTAATCAATCATTGAAAAAAAGAAACTGATTTGGTTGGGTCCTTTTTTTTGTTTGGGATATTCAGCCTGACTCATACAACAAAAAGAAGAACTACATCTTCGAGGAGATCTTGGGTTCCGGGAGCTTCGGCTTCGTCAAAAAGGCCGTCTGGATCCCCCATGGTAACTTGCCTGTGGCCATCAAATGCATCAAGAAAAAGTCAGCATCCCTTGGCTTGGCTTCTCTTGATCATCCCCCCCCCCTCCCCATCTCTCGATAATACGATTCACTCGAATTCATTACTCTGCAATTGTTTTTTTTCTTTCTTTCTAGAACTTTGCATGGGAATGAGCAGGTCGTTCATGATGAAATTAAGGTCCTCAAAGGATTGAATCATCCAAACGTTGGTAAGCTATCTCCGCAATATTCTTATATAGCTTGACTCATCCATCCATCCATCCAAATAAATAATATATTGTGACTTACTACTCGTCGATCGTACTAAAAACAAAAAAGTCAAGCTTTACGATTGGTTTGAGTCGCGTGATAAATTCTATTTGGTCTTCGAGTTAAGCCTTATTCGACTTGACTATAGAAGGCCCGAGTGGAAGATGATGATGAAGAGAGCCTGATGATTAACAACAATGTGGTTTTATTTTTATTTTTCTGTGACGATATATCAGACTAGCCTCGGGCGGGGAGCTATTCCAAAGGATATACGACCAAGGGAAGTTCACGGAAGCGGATGCGATCAAAGTGATCCGAGCGACGCTCTCGGGGATCGCCTATCTGCACACGCACCAGATCGTTCATCGGGACCTGAAGCCGGAGAACCTGCTCTACAAGACCCGGGGCGAGCCCAACCCGAGCGCGGCCAGCGAGCTGCTCCGTCCCAAGAGCTCCATCCTCTCCGGCTCGGCCGCCGCCGCCCCCGGAGAGGGCCAGAACGACGACCTCCTCGTCATCGCCGACTTCGGCATCGCTACCTCCATGTCCTCCGAACATGAGCCCTTGATGACCATGTGTGGAAGTCCGGGATATGCTGCCCCTGGTCCGTTCACCCCATAACTTAGATCATCCCCATCTTCTTCTAGCACTGAATCCACCTCTCCCTCCCCTCAACCACCTCAGAAATCTTGAACAATCAAGGGCACGGTAAACCAGTCGATCTATGGAGTATCGGGGTGATTACCTACACTCTGTTGTGCGGTTACAGTCCGTTCAGGTCTGAGAACCGGGCCGAACTAATCAAGGTCAGTCGTCCAAGTCTTCTCTTGATCAAAAAATTCCCTTCGTCTTGGGTTCTCGATCATTGATCCCCCCGCCCCGCTTCTGCTGTCGGATTGTGACATGTATTGGTTCTTTGGTCGGATAGGAAACGACGAGAGCGAAGGTCGAATTTCATCAGCGCTATTGGACCAATATCTCCTCCGCTGCAAAGGACTTCATCCTCGGATTGTTGAAGCCTAACCCGGAGGACAGAATGACGGCCGAACAAGCCCTGCAACATCGTGTTTGTCCTCACTCGCTCACTCATTATCATCCTTCTTCGGTATACCCTGTTGTCAAATTCTGATTCGTACTTTGTTGACCTTTCCCCTTCCCCCCCCCCTTTTTTTTTGGGGCGTTACGTTTCTTTATTAGTGGTTGACGGGAACTATTGATAGTCAACACGATATATCGGACGGAATCAGGAAACACTGGTACGTTTATCAAGCAGCTCGATTCGGATCAAATCGACCTTGACCAAAGAGTTGATTGTTTTTTTTTTTTTTTTGGTAATTGTTTTATAGGATTCCAAGGAGGAGATGGAAGCTCGCAATCAATGCCGTTCGGGCTACGAATCGGATGCGAAGGATGGGCTCGAGCAGCAGCTCGTCGCCGACGACGGTCGGCTCGTCGCGCTCTTCGATCACTCGATCCTCCTCTGGTCTCTCCACTAATGAGGATTCTTTCAATCGCTTGAAAATCCATTAATCATCTTCCCCCCCCCTTTTTCATCTTTCTAAAATGTGTGTGTTTTTCTTCCTCTTTGTCCTTAAACATCAATCAATTTTGCTCTTTTTTCTTTGAGCGCTCGATCACAGTTTTTTTCTTAGCATCCATTTTTCTTTTTCCTCATCTTTCTTCTACCATTCCCGACCATGAATTTAGTTTAATTTCTTATTATCATCGCGCTGGTTCATCGGATTTGCTTCTTCTTTTATCATGATTTCTTACTTATTTTTTTTTTCATGGTCTTGATAATATTATACGGTGTATGTAGACTTGGAAGCCCACTTTAACAGATCTTTTCTGCTCTCTCTCTCTCTTACATTTTGTTTTCGAAAACTGTGGAAAGTTTCATTGGTTTAACTTTTTCAAGCAACAATTGTCATCCATATTTTCTTTCTTTCTTCTTCTTCCATCACTTTATAAAACCAGAACGACTCCCATCGAATCTTACAATAATTCAGCCTGTTGTCATCTATGTACTTAATCTCTTATCTCTATACTCCATGAAGTTCAGGTCTTGTCAATTCGATTGTGTGTACTGTGTGTGTGTGTGTTTTCTCGCACATTATAACTCGAGTCGAGGGAAATAAGTGTGTTGATTAATTGGGCCCTTCTTTTTCAGGGTCTCTGCCGTCGTCACTCAACCATGCGTTTGTTCAACCTGAAAGAAAAACTTGGTGATGGTCAAATGGGCTGGCATTCTTCTTGCGCTATTTACTCTCATGTATTTATAATACCATGTTTGAACAATTATCCAAAAAAAAAGAAGAAGGGAAAAAAAACAAATTAACATGTTAAGATGACATGGATGGGTCTGGTTTACTAGTCAGAATTGCTGAAGGGATGTTTTCATGCTGTCATGTCTTGTGTGAGTGGCTATTTAGAAAACGCAATAGCGTTGGACGTGCAATCTTCTGTGGTGCAAGAGTACCAAAAGGTGCTCAAACCGGGCAACTGTAGATTATGTATTAGAAGCGGGCCACCAGATGGTTAGGCCCTGCACACCTTCGAATGCGCTCTTCCGGGCCAGTTCTTGTCGTGGATCTTGAGCTCTTGGAGAAGGATCTGGGTGGCGAGATGTTTGGAGTAACATCGGGCTTGGAAACTGGTATGGTTAGGGAGAGAGAGAGGGTTGTTAATACCAAAGGATCCCATCGTCTTTGATTCGGCAGATGTTCTTTATAAATATGTAAACCTCCTTCCAAAACAATAATCATATTCATAAAGGTGGTACTCACAAGTTGCCACACATCAGCCATAAGCCGGGCTGGCCACTCAGTCGCCACGTCCCGGGGATCTCGCCCTGGCTGTCTTTCCCCCACACCGGGCCCAGACGCTGGGCCACGGTCTCGCTGATCAACTGGTGGATGCTCGATCGGATGGATTGGTATCCTGTTGCAAACACAATGACTTTGGGGGGTTTTCCAACAAAAAAAGAAAGATGGTGAATCATTTGGAAGATGAGCACTATGAGATGGTACCTTTATTGTTAGAGGTGTTGGGCCGGGATATATATTCGTCTATGGGAAAAAAGGGGGAGGGGGGGGGGGGGACGGACTGTCGGCTTGGATCTCTTCGCCATCGTCAAACCGGAGCCCATGTTCCGTCAATCTAGCAACCTCATGGCCCTGTTTCAAGTGAATCTTTCTGGAGGCAATCAGTTGAGAGCAGCCCACATCTGTGATACATCAGCAACCGACACCCCAGCGCAGTGTTTGACCAATCAATAGTCACATCCATTGTCTGTCAGTCTTCATCCTTGATACGCATAAGTTCGTGACCCCCAGAACCCGGATATATGCAAGGCTGCTGACCTATGTAGTATCCTCCGCCTCGTCTGCCTTCCCCAATTGATTGAGGAATGAGAATTGTTTTCAGTCGTCATTTTGTACTAGATTATACACACTGGCCAGCCAAGTTTTTTGTTTTTGTTTTCGTGGATGCCCCTCAAAAGAAGAGTAAGATAGCTAAATAGGAGAGAAAAAACTAAGCGGACCTGAAATATTTGATGAGCATTCCAGAAGGATAAGGGTCGACCTTGAAGCCGACGTTTTCGAGACTCTGGGAGAGCTCATGGTCGAGTTTGTTGATGTTTTCTTGGATCTTGGTGTGGATGATCTCGAGGAGATTGATGGGTAGACTGGTGAAGATCAGGTCGGCATCCTCCGTCGCTAAGCCTCCTTCCTCGTACAAGCCTTTCATCAGGGTGGATATCCCATGTTGACTGTCATTGTCAATTAATCAAGCAAGCAAGAGAAATCGAAAGCAAGCATTCATTTCAATTTAAATCTTCAACATGCATGATGTTTTTTTTGAAGAATTGAAGTGAATTAGGGGGGACACCCGTCTTTGTATGTACCTGGACATGACAAAGGTCTTAGAACGCTGGACCATTGTGACCTCGGCGGCCCCGTTGTTATAAAGCTCAGCGGCGATATCGTGTGCCGAGTTACAGGCGCCGACGACGACGGCGCATTTGCCGCGCCACTCTTTGGCAGACTTGAACTGACTCGAGTGGACGACTGTTCCTGCGTAGGAATCCAAGTGAGAAATGTTGGTAGGCCATTGGGGCGCGGCATTGAGGCCGGTGGCCAGGACCAAGTAGCGGGGTCGGAGTCGGATGCTCCTCGCCGGCGTTCCCTCGGTGCCGAAGAGTCGGACATCAGTCGTCCAACACTCACTCTCCGGGTCGTACTCCGCCCCCGGGACCAGCGTGGCTTGCAACCAAACATCGAGCTCCATGCTCTCGGCATAATGCTCAAACCAGTTGGCCAGCTTATCCTTGGGTGTATAGACCGGCCATGTCGGAGGATAAGGCATGTAAGCCAAATGGTCCGCCCACACCTATTTTGATGACGATTCGATCAAGACCTCGGCCGCCGTCAATCAATCAGTTCCTTGCCACTCCGACTGGCCAGAACAAAAAACCACCCACCGGATCGTGCAAGCAGAGCGAATCATACCGCCTCCGCCAACAGTCTCCTAAGCGCTCACTTTTCTCGACGACCAACGAATCTATTCCGAGCACCTTCAACCGGGCCGCTAGGCTCAACCCATTCTGCCCACCACCGATGATCAAAACGGTAGGATCAACTGAGATAATCACCATTCATTCAACACCCCCCAAAAAATGATTTTCTCAGATGGTGCCATGTAATCCTGCCTGAGGCTAAATTAATCAAGCCGAAGGTATGTATGTGGGAAGCTAGAGTAGAGGTGATGATCTTACCCCCATCTTTGTACCGTTCAGAGCTCCGGACACGCTCTTCCAACCAGTTCAGGGGCCGCTTCTCAGCGGACACCTGTTCCGAAACTCCGAGGGGACGACGAAAGCCGCGCCGTTCTTCGTGCCCTTTGACTTCCCAAACTTGGGTCTAAAGTGATGAGATCATGAGCCCTTCATTGATTGGAAATAATCAAATAAAGAAAAAAAAGTTTTGAAGAGCTTACAAAGAACAAGAAAGCTTTAATGGATGTCGAAGGGGAAGTCAGCCGAGTGTCGATGAGCTTCAGCAATCCGGTGCCTCTGTAGACCTCCGTGTCGAACTTGATGAACGCTTGGATCAGTCCGTCTTCGGTCAGCTTGAGTTGATCCAAGCGGTCCAGCTCGAGATTCTTGAGAGCCGGTAATGGAAGCGAGTGTTGGTTGAGATACGGCTTGATGGCGCTTTTGGCGAGCGCGTTGAAGTCGAGCTCGATCGTCAGAATCTGGCAGACAAGAGATATCAAAGCTCCTTCAATCTCACAATGTCTCTTGACAATTCAATCCTTTGGGTTGCTCACATCTCGCCAATATCCGTCTTCTGAAAACAAGTCGACAAACTGATCCACATCTTTCTCGTCAAAACAGGCTTGGGCTCTTTCAAGCCAACGGGTCACCAGGCTCTGGAGAGAATCACTCGAGGAGAGAGTCGCGTGATTGTCCGAAGTAGGTGATCCGGCTTGGAGGCCTTCAACCGCCGTTGCGAGTGTCTGATCAAGTTGTGTCATCTTTTAAACCAAGTTTTGGAGGCCGTGAATGGCCTGGTCTTCTTCCAGAAAGATACGAGTTATAATATAATAGGGAAAGACACTCGAAAAGCAGAAAGGGTTCTGGACTTCAAGTGGGATGAGATTGCAGAGAGCTTACAAATATAAATCACAGAGGCACATATCTAGTTGGATCTGAAGCAGGCAAGGGCTGGCTGGCTGGGTAGTAATATATAGTCCAGATGATATTTATCCACAAGCTTATCATACAGTCATCGAGGTTTTCCTAGCTATCTATAGTGCAACAAACAAAGCTTATCATGAAGACCATCCTACAATGATAGATTAACCCCCCCAAACAGACATCTTTCTTCTTGATATTCATTGCAGCATCCGCCATCAAATTGGATGGCCAGTGAGCTCACAGGGTCGCCTTCATTGATCGATATCATTCGGCTCAAGCCTTTGGTTCGTGGAATGACAAGACCAACGATGTAAAGCAGTGTCCATCATGATATGTATACCCATGGTATTTATATTAATGGGCTTCCCTTAGAGAAGAAGACCGCTTTGCCTCCAGTAACTTTGTCGATGGGCCAAGTCTCCGAACATCCCCTGTCTCGAGTCTCAACTGCTCATCCACAGCTTCCGGCCCGCGAGACTTGCTCGAATTTCTCCAAGATATTTAAATATGTATCTTCGACCACATCGTACGAGCTGGCCAGCCGATCCGACTAATTAACCATTCGAATGTAAATGTCCACAATTTACATTTCCATTTGGACGTGTGCGTGGTCTGACTTGGATGTATGGATCCAAATGATCGAAAGAAAACATTTGTTTTGAAGTGTGAATACACATAAATACATACATATCGTGGAGAAGCGTTCCTGTTTTGTGTGTGTGTCTGAATACGATGAGCGGACCGAGACTTGTCGGTGCATCAAGCACAAGTACAAAAATAAAGCAAAGACTGGAGACCACTCCAGTTTGAAACCATCCATGTCTTCCTTTTGGAGAGATGTGCAAGACTTGAGAAGAGGCCAGCTATGTCCGCCAGTCAAGCGGAAATCCCCAGCCTTCAAAAAGTCCCGATCAGTTATACAAACAGAGCTCAACTTAAAAAGCATTGATTGGAATTTTGGTCACTTGGACGGGATCGATGCCACCAAACAATAACGACGATGCGTTGCCCCTTGGATACCCTAAGAGCTTGAATAAATCACTTACTTGACATTCTTCTTTTTTTTTCTTGATGATGAACCATGCAAAGGACCACAACATAACAAATCAAATCAAGCAAGCACACACTATAACTATATTAAGAGGCAAGAAGGAAGATGAGATGAGCAGAAAGAGAGAGAGAGAGAGAGAGAGAGAGAAGAGAGGAAAAGGAGGGGAGGGTGGGACAAGAGTTACTCAACCCAGAGAAGATCAATGTAGGAAGGAAGGAAGGGTATGGGTGGATGAATGAAAGATAGGCGAGCACAGAGACCTCAAGACAAGAGTGGTTGAAATGATAAAAAAAGCAAATGAACATATTATTATTGATGAACAACCTGCAACCAAAACCACCAAGAGATCTGAACATATAAATTCTCATTCATCACAAACATATACATATGAACAACAAACAAAGCGGGAATGGGTGGAGTAAATATATATGTGCTCAGAAGTTGCAATAAGATATATATGACATTTTTTTTCTTGGTGAGGGATAGGAAGCAACGACGGGGGTGTGTCAGGGGTAGCATGTGTGTGTGTTTTTTCTCTCTCTTTTGGGAACGTGGTCCACGGTCAGCGGGACTGGTAGACGTGGGGGATGGGGATGGGGATGGGGGGGGGAGGGATGAACAAAAAGGAGCACGGAAACAACACAAAAATCTTGGGGAATCCAGTGATGATTATTTATTTTTCAAAAAAAAAAAAAAAGGAAAGAGGAAAAGAGTGGATGAAGAATACAAGAAGAGGATGTGATAAGGGTGGATGGGTGAGTGGGTTCATTCCTTCTTTCGGTCGCTCGGCATGGAGGGTTTCGGTGGGGATGGAGTTGCAGAGAACCGGTTCAAGACGCTCGCAATCATTTGATAGAACCACTTTTTTGTTTTTGTTTTCATATGTCCAATGTCAAGAAAGAAGAATCAAGCAGAAGCGTGAATTTGATATTTTGTTGCAAATGAAACAAAAGAAGAAGTGCTTACAAACATATTCAGGCCTATAGAAGAAAATAAGAAGAGGGTAGAAGAGGAGGAGAGAGAGAGAGAGAGAGAACGGACGAGTCAGTATATGCGAGCGTAAGGTTGGTAGAGGAGAGTGGACGAGAGAAAGAGAGACAAACTGACCGGACAGGAGGAGGTCGAGGATCCGGATGGTGTTCAAGAGCCGAGTCCCGGCCTTCTGACTGACCCCGTCCTCGAAGGACAAAGCGAAGAGTTGGTAGGAGGTGTAATTACCTAGGACGAGTCTGAATTGCATAAAAAAATCATCAATCAAGCTCAGTTTCCCTTGATCTTCACAGGAAACAAACAGACATTGGGAGGGGATCATTCACCTCGAAAAGAAGAACACTAGCAGGAGCGCGACGCCGTTGTATAGTTGCGCCTTCGAGCCCGACATCCCTATCTTGTCGAAAAACCTACATCCACAGCGACCTTCTTTTCTCTCAGCTTCTTGCAAAATCGATGATCGTTTTTTTTTTCGCTAAGAGAAAGACGACAAAAACACACCAATGTGGATTCAAGAAAATCGTTGACGCTTCCCACTTTTTTTTTTTTTTTTCAAAAAAAAAGTAAATCAAGTATCAATTTGACAATTCGATTCTCCCTTTTTTTTTTTTTTTGAGTGAGAGAGATGAGTTGTTGATGTAGAGACGGACCAGAAGGAAGGCGAATCCGAAGTATCCACAGAACGGCTTGATCGAGTAGAGGAACGCGACAAAACAGCTGACCGCATGCAGTAGGAATCCGATGCCTCCTCGGTTGATCGTTAGCTTTAGACTGACTATTATGTCCCTGTTTATTTGTTTTTTTGCAGTCATTCTGGAATCAGTTTTTTCTTTGTGTGTGTGAGTTTGACGATATTCACTTACCAAAGAAAATAGCCCGTTGAGATGGACAAATAGTTCCTGAACGAAAAAAAGGGGAGAACCAGAGTGTGAGTATGATTTTGGGGGTGTTTGGCGAAAACAGAGAGCATAAATACATAGCCGTAGGATGATATCCGAAGAGTTTATCGTGATGGATAGACGAGAAGAGGGCAGGGTTTCTGAGGACATGGATGGCGATGAGGGTGGCATAGAAGGCGTGAATCCAAGCGACCACGCGGGTATCCCAGTTGAACTTTGTGAATCGGCTGAGGTGGGGGTAGTGTGTTGGGAAGAGTCTTGGGGAGATGAGGGAGTGGGAGATGGCCTGGATGAGGAAGCATGCGAGGGTGGAGAGGAGGATGACGTGGTAGTGCTCGGGTAGGTTTTCGAGATCGAGTATGGCGGCTAGTCTGTTAATGTTCTTCATCTTTTGTTCTTTCTCCCTTTCTTTCTTCGTGAAATGGTCAGCTGGATGGATGGATGTGTGTGTGTGTGGGTGTGTTGGTTTTGGGTTGTTTATTTTGAGTGTGTTCTGCTTGGTTCCATCGTTTCTTACATAGTCCGCCCCAGTCAAGTGGTTGTTGGTTGTTCTAATAGGTCGACTGACTTCGAGACTGGCTCGAGAGGGGTGACAGCTTAAGACTGCTTACATAATACTTCGATTGAAAATTTAGAATACTCATCCCCATCTCATCCACCCTACCACTCATCAAATTACTTGAGAGCCAAGGACATACCAACACGAACTTAACACAAGTCCCTCCGAGGAGGTCGCGTAGCGACCTCCGAAGGAGGGACTTGCATTTAAAGTGGCATGTCTCGCCCTACAAACTCCAGCCAAATGGCTGGAAGAGTGCTCTACTCACCTATATGGCCCATTACTCCCCTGTTCCATTATGATTCTCATCCTGAGGGTTCCACCATCTAAATAGTACGCTTCTTACCTTATTTCTACCCACTTCACATGTTCAGATATCCACACCCCCTGGCAAGAAATGCCCTTTAAAATCTATGATTTGGAAAAATTGTGTGTGTAATCCGCGCTGATCATGGCCGGATATTCCATCGGACATATCTGGTCATAAAAACATAACTTCAATAAACATATTATCCTTGTAGTATACTGTGATTATCTCAGAATTTTCAAAATTAAATACATACCTAAATGCATGTAAATTATCTCAGAGCTTGTGCCGATTTCATCAGTCCTTGAATTCCTCAGTCTTCAATCAGCCACAATCGAAATCGACGATGCCCAATTGCAATCCCCCCCAGCATCCGAGCGATCCCCATCCCCTGAAGTGGTGCCCAAACGAACACTAGCCAGAAAAACCCTGGAGATTTGTCACCTGAAGTCAAACTACAACATGACACCAAAGCAGTTTATCGAGGCATTTCTCACTGCAGAAGATGATGCGATTTCTTTTCGTCGTCGTTACTGGGGTTCTAAGTCTGGCTGGCCTTCAACCCTCGACATGATACGACAAATAAAAAAGCAAGTGAACAAGACACAAAAAGGTCAAGCTCGGTGAGGTTCTCTTCGGTCTTATCATTTTTCGACTGGCTGGATCGTCTTCACTTTTTTCATTAACTTGGAGCAGGACAATCTGCAATTAAAATTTAAGATGTGTACCCTCGGAGACCATCGAAGCCAAATCAATCATTTTGTATTGAGGAACGGATAGTATGCGTTGGTCAGAAATCCCGTGAGATTGTCTGTGATCCGCTGATTCAGGATCCGAACCATCAAATAATTTCAAATTTTGTTGATTTGAAGAATTAAGGAACATCGTTGAAGAGGAATTGTGCTCCACCAGTAGTTATGAGAGCAAGATGAACAAAAAGAAGATCTGATGGAAGCTGAGATAGCAGGCTACAAATCTGTCTGTTCAGTTTTTTCTTAATTGATATGATGTATTTTTAAAAAATAAAATAAAATAAAATGAGTATTTTTTTTGCGCAAAATTCATTTCCGTTGAGCCAGGGGAGCAACTTTAAAGGTAAGCCTCTCCTTCGGAGACGCTTCGCGCCTCCTCCGGAGAGGCTTTGTTAAGCTCGATACCAACAGCCTTTGGAAGACTGGACAATCTCCCGTTGGTTTTCCTTTGGTCTTGATCCCCCAGCATATCTTAAACACTTGGACTGGACACTCCAACATCTTCATCCACTTCATCATCACTTGGCCACCAAGCTCTTCCACAGTCCAGCTCAGGTAGTTTTTTCCAAATGGTTTAGTATTAATGCTCAACTTGCTAATTGATTTATTCATCGATTCGAGGGCAGAATCACCGCGACTACGCTTTACGGCAGTACCTCGACTGGAGCAGACCTGGCCAACTGATCGGTATTTAACCCACCAAAATGCTCTCTCCTTCACCCCCCACATAACCGAGTCAGCAAGCAGCAGCTCCTTGATCACGCTCCACTGCCAGCCCATCACTTCTGCTCAAGTACCCGTGTTCAAGCCTTGTCACAACCAATCCATCATGAAGTGCTTCGTCTTCGCTGTAACCCTGTGCGCAACTGTGATGGTGGCTGCCTCCGTGAAACCTGTCAAAGTCGATGTTGGCCACCCAGTCACCCCTGGTAGTGATGCTCCTCTTGAGGTTACATGTCCAAGATGTGGCGCTGAAGGGCACTCTTGGAGAACATGCCCATGGTAAACACTTGTGGTTGCTCCAGCTTGTGGGAAGGAAGTGGCCTCTTGAAAAAACACAGAAAAAAACATAATAATCAATAAAAACCAACAAAGAAAAAAAATCCACCTATCATTCTGCCTGATGCCTGATTACAAAAACACCAGAAAAAAAAAAAAAAAAACATGTAAACCCTCCCCTCAAAAAAAAGTCAAATAAACAAGTGCCCTCATCCCCTCTGGAACAGAAAGTCCCCTCCCCCTGGCCCATTGGACCCCCCCCTTTTTTTGTGCACAGTTGCATATGGTATGACCTGACTGATCTGCATTTTGGAGGCTCTTCAAAAACCGAGGTTTTATTTTTGCTTTTTTGTGTTTCAGATCATCTGTATTAGTTTCTAGTTCCAGGCAAGCTAAGTACTTCAGCTGAAAAAAAAACTCAACCACACCGGCCAGGGCCTTAGCTAAGCTCAAGCCAAATTGGCTTTGAGCTCCAATTTCGGATAGCTGTTGCTAGGTCTAGCAGCAGCTAGCTTGCAAGTTAGCTAAAAGTAAACACCTGTGTATGTATTTCATTTTTGTGCTCTCCTGAAAATAGTTGCACACCTTTAATTCAAACCACACCACACAGCTTATCTTCAAGCAACACCAGTGTGACTGAATGGGCTTTACTATTGTAGCTTAGCAATAGCCGGTGTAGTGTGCCAAGTGTGTTTCAAGTATCAAGGTACATAAACTCTTGAAATAATCCACCACGAACAAGCTTTATTATTGTATATTTGAATTCTACATCACATTTAACCTGTAGTCAATCACTGCGTTCCACTAGGCTATCTCAACTCAGTCAGAAGTGATTTGGATGTTAAGGTTATGATGGAACATGATTACAAAGCATGGTGGTACATTGGAAGTGCATAGTATATATTTAGATCTAGGTAAATGGTTCAGGCCATGTAGAACCACAATATCAACAGTGGGCCGCTACGCTACACTACACTATTTGACCACTAACTGTTAGTGTAGTGGTCTTTTCATTTCCTGGAAATTCTGTAGTGTTAGCTGACGCTAAACCCCACTACGCTAACTGTTAGTGTAGTGTAAATTTTTTTCTCAAATTTTTTGGTAGTGTTAGCTTCAAATAATCTCAGCTAAACTAACAGTTAGTGTAACTTTTTTTGCGCTAACAAAATTTTGACCGTCAGATAGTGTAACTGATTTGAAGCTAACATTTAGTGTAACTTATGCCAAATTAAGCTACGCTACACTACACTACATGCCTAGTTACGCTACGCAACAGTAGAAGTTACCCTTGCTACATGATGTGAAAGTGGAAATTGAACAAGTGTGGGAATGGAACCCAGTAAAGTATGATCTGAGGGGGAATTGAACCCATAATCTCAAGGTAGTCTGACAGGGGAATGTGGTCTCACAAGTAAGTGTTAAAAATTGGCAGGGGGCTAAAATTGAGTGGCCCCCATTACCAACTGAAAAAAATGATGATCAATTGAGGGGATCTGGATGTAGGCCCCCCAATCAGGCACTGTCTTCAGGGTAGACTAATGCTAGTCATGTGGTCATGTAAATTTTAATCAGTTACGCTAACAGTTTTTCACCAGTTACGCTAACAGTTAGTGTAACTGAGGGTACCACTACACTAACTGTTAGTGTAACTTTGGTAAAATTTACAATAACATGTAGTGTAGTGGGTTCACCCACTAACACCACTAAAATTTCACTAACAGGATTTTGGGTAGTTTTAGTTGTGCTTTTTTAAAGGTAGCTAACACTAGGCTAAAGTTTTTTTTTGGTTTTTCAAAAACCCTGTAGTGTTAGTGTTGGAATTTCGTCTCTTTCTCCTCATCCCTAAAAAATCCTTCTGTTACACCTTTCTGTTTTAATGATATTTAGATGAAAAATCATTAATTTTACTGTGTCTTGTAAGTGTCTGAGTGGCACCTTTTTCATTGTCTAGTGCTGCAATCCCTGTAGTCTTCGAACCCGGGTCTAGTCTTTATCAATGATTATTTGCTCCTGTCATCTTTTTCATGCATGTGTCAAATTGTTATTCATTTCAATATTCATTATTCTTCTCACCCACATGTTTAACCTCTTGTATGTAGACTACTTAACGCCTAGTCTCATCTAAGTAAAACACCATCGGTTCTCTCCTTCATTTTTCGACCCTTTGAGCCGTTCCAACAAAAAACAATTTTGTTGCCACAATTTCTCCTGAAAAAAATTCCCCTTCCTCGGTAAAAATTTCTTCACGATTAACAGTCGAAAGACCTGTTACAACAATCTCTCCCTCTCATATCCGAAGATCAACATCAACATGTCGACTGAAGTTATCCGCGAAACCAAAGTTCTCTTAACTCCTCTCAATTATGCCCTCTGGTTGTTGCCGATGGAGGCAAGACTCTTTAGACTGAAACTTCTCAACACCGTCGAAAGTGAAGTTGAACCAGACGAAAAAGAAAAAGAATCTTGGATGAAACTCAACAACGATGCGTATCCCGAAATCATTGCCTACATCGGTCAAGAAGTCCTCGGATTCGTCAGCTCTGCTTTGCCTGTAACGCCTCGCTGCAACGGACGGGGTCATCTGGAAACTTCTAAAATCTCAATATGCCGGTGATGACTTGACCTCTCAAACGACCGCCCTCGATCAATTCCTTCATCTTAGCTTTTCTTCAATCGCCACTATATCCCTGCAATCGATCAGGAAATCAGAAGATATCCATGTCGGGTCTTGTTCTGGACGATCGAGTCCGAACCATTCTCATGCTCAAGAAACTTCCTTCCGACTACCGTTCTTTCCGCGACATCGTCTCGATGAACTACGGCTCCGAATCATTTGAATCCGTCATCAAGAAACTTGAGAGCTATGTAGCTCAGAACGATTTAGACAAAAAACCTACGGTGTGGTGTGCTGTGCCTGTTCCAATGCCAAAAGCATACAGCAGAGGTGTTGGGATAGCATAGTTACATACATGTGACAATCATTACAAGAGAAGGAACAATCATTATGGATGAGGTGTGGTATATACGGACTGGATTACATACAATGAGAGGATTGGAAGAACATGTCTCAACCAGGAATGGAACATAGGAGCGGTGTGCATACGAGGATTGGAGAGGGAGATCATATCTCAACCAGGAATGGAACGGAGGAGCAGAAGTTTATACGTGTAGAGGAGTGGGAGAACATGTCTCGACCAGGAATGGAACGGAGGAGCGGTGTGTAATAAGGGTACTTTATGTTTTACGTAAGGGTAAAGGGTATGGATTGTGAAAAGTGAAGGGAGGAAAAATATTGAGGCGGAGGGAGGAAGGAAGGAGTGAGGAGAGGCTTTGACCCCCAAATCCTGGGTGGAAGGAGATAACAGCAGGTCTGGCAGGCTGGTACTGCCTATGCAGAGTGTTCTGGAAGATGGCTTGGTTACCTGGCGATGCATGACATCATGCTGCGCTTGTGTGCTCCCTTGCATGCATATTATGTGACAAGGTCTGGAGTTAAGTGTTCCTAGCACAGCATAAGCTGCGCTATTTGTTTGGAGGCTGTGCGCAAAGGCTGTGCAGGTGAGATCCCCTGCAGCAATATTCCCTCACAAGGAGTCCCCTGCAGCAGAAATCCCTCACTCTTCAATATAAAAGAAGGACCTCTCCCCCCCCGAAAGTCTCTTCTCCTCCTTTAAGGCCTACAGAAGTCTCGCAGAGCAGTAAGTTGGCCTCTCTCAACCCGTCTGGAAGTGTTCCGGAGTGTCAGTAAGGTGAAG